CTAAACTTGAACTCAAAGTTATCCCTATAAATATTACTTTCAAAATATAATTCACAGTAATTTCAAAAGCTTCATCTACAGTAATCTAAAAACAGTTTTATTTAGAAGCAAAAAACTTTTATCTGAGCTATAACAGTTATTCACAAAGATCTTAATAACGCAAACATTCAGCAAAACGTAAATCCGTACACTTCATCCCAGTGAAACTGTCGACCGGCGGTAGAGAACACGGACCAATATCTGCCATACTTAGCGAGCCCATGACCCGCAGTGGGCTCGCTGCCCCATGTTACCCTACTATGGACAGTTAAACTTTACGTTAATAAAACGTACCTACTAGTTCTATAGCTTAAGCATCATAACTGGATTTTTTGTTAGTATAACTTCTTAATTATCACAGTATATTTCTTTCTCACTTTATTATACGTCCAAAATGAATAAATAAAATTGCCCAAGCTGAAATAAAAAAGACTTTTTCTATCCCATTCATCATTCATATGTCTGATATTTTCTCTTTTTGTCTACATAGCTGACGTCCTCTTATTTCACCTTAGAAATAGTTTTCCAAAGTTGACCATCATAATTAATGATTTTCTGAGCATAATGACTGTTTCCCTACTTATTTTACATCAGACAAATACATTTATGCCAAATTTTATCAGTAGAGGAAGAAAAATAGAAACGCTGAGAATTCATCAGACTTTAAAAAGCATAAAATTATCGATAAAATGGTATTTTTATTACAAAATATTGCAACATTTCTTAGTTTATATAATTTAGCTCATAATATAGATATAATTTGATTTATTAGCCTAAAAAAATTGGTTTTTGGCAGCAAAACTGTTCCAGTCTACTAATTCAAACTGCTGCATATTTGGCTGTCATTTTGAAAATCACTGATTTGAAGCCTTTCCACCAATTATATTTTAGAGGATTTTTTATATGTCTTTTCTGAGGCCTTTCTACATGTTATGGTGATGGAGAAAATTCTTTTGCAAATTGTTCTAGGTTGACCCCCTTTTTTCACTAGGTTTCCTGGACTAATACCTATTTGATTTGCGACACTGTGTGACTAAATTTGGCACGTTGTAATACAAATTACAGCTGTGCTTCAAACTACTAATACGTAATTCCGACATACTTGTGTTCAAATTCTGAATTTCTGATCGCTGTGTGAGCTGTATTGGAATACGACAGGGCTTTGAATTAGAACACTATTGAATATTGAACACTATTTACTTAGGCTTTTAATTAACAGCTATTAAGCATTTAATTAGGAAAATTTTAATTTTGCACACAGCTTGGAAGCCATGGTCAGGAAGATGTGCCAGGTGCACGGGAATTTATTTTGTCATTTTAACGACCTGCGCGGTGCGCCGTACTACATTGGTAAAAAAATGTGCCGTGTGCCGTACTTTAGAAAGCTAAAATAGTTCTACTATTTTAGTCTACAATATACGCGAGTATATTGACTACGCAAGTCGAACTGACAATAATAAAATGTAAGACATGTCCGGGTTACTTCTGACTCTTCCGGTTGTCCGCCTTGTCAGATACGGAACGTACGGTAATTGTAAACTGCGGCTGTTATACATACGAAATGTAAACAGACGGTGTTCAGTGTTGCCATATGACTTTGGAGAAAATTTCTTCTAAAATAAAGATTGCCGGGATTGCGCAAACACGTGCGCGAAGATAATCAATTTTCATTACATTGTGCCAACTGTGCACAGCAATAGCTTAAAAAAAGTGAAAATGCGCGGGAAAATTCACCAAAAACATACATCATCCTGAGTGTGGCTTGGAAGTTGGATTTTGGAACGAGCTGTGTGTGTCCAATTCAAGTTGTGTCGGAATTAGTTTTTATGTGTCTAATTCCGTTTATTAACCTAATCATTCATTAATTTATTTAACCACTTGATATCAGCAAATACAAGTATACTTAAAGGATTCCTAACATATTCACAGATGTATTTAAAAGTCTCAAGCCATAACATTCTTTCTACAAAAACAGTTTATCTCTATTTGGTAGAGCAAGGTCAACTATCAACTTTGACACATTTTTCGATGATCTCACTGGGTGGCATGAACCGTCTCTCTTTGGATCTCAACATTTTCCGGCCAGACGGCCCAAACCTAGTGTTTTGGCAATAGTTTGGCGCGCAAAGGTATGACGTCACTATTTCAACCTTCAACGAATGTGTGGGACTAAGACAAAGCTTAATATAAAGGAAAAACTAGAGAGGTGTCGGAATTACCCACGATGTCGGAATATACCGCGTTTACCCTACGCTAACTTGCTCAGTTTCTATAAAGTACCTAATCACTAGGAAGTTGTAGGGTAAACTTGGTATATTCCGACATTGTTGGTAATTCTGACACTTCTTGACTTTTTTCCTTTATATTAAGCTTTTTCTTAGTTCTACGCATTAGTTGATGGTTGAAATAGTGACGTCATACTATTGCGTGCCATACTATTGCCGGAACACTAGGTCTGGGCCGTCTGGCGGGAAAATGTTGAGATCCAAAGAGAGACAGTGCTCGTCACCCAGTGAGAACATCGAAAAATGTGTCAAAGTTGATAGTTGACCTTGCTCTACCAAATAGTGATAAAGTTTTTATGTAGAAAGTATGTTATGGTTTGAGACTTTTACATAAGTCAGTGAATATATTAGGAATCCTTTAAGTATACTTGTATTTGCTGATGCCTGATTTTAAGTGGTAAATAAATTAAAAGATGATTAAGTTAAGAGACGGTTTTAGACACATAAAAACTAATTCCCACACACCTTGGAATAGGACACACACAGCTTGTTCTGAGCTATGTTCAAAAATTAAAATGTTCTTAATTAAAACCTTAATAGCTCTTAATTAAAAGCTTAATTAAAGAATAACAATTTTTTAATCAAGCTTGTTCCGAGCTGTGTCGTATTCCGATGCAGCTCACACAGGGTGTCGGAATTACAAATTAGTAGGAGTTTGAAGCGCTGTCAGAATTAGTCTCACAATATGCCACATTTAGTCACACACAGTGTTGGAATTTAGCAATTTTGTAGATTTGAATTCTAGAGGCTTTTAAATAAATATGGCAACAGTTTGTGACATTTCATCATTGCTGGCGCATAGTGTGGTGTTTTGAGACATTGAGAGTGATGTAAACCAATCAGAACTCAAGTTGCGCATTCGGTGATTTATTTATAGCCATTTATTTCTTGCTACATCCTCAAAGTGTCGGAATGTAGTGTGTTTACCCTTTACAAATTGACAGAGATAGACTGGTGGGAGGCAGGGCTGGAAAAAAATGTTTTTTTCTGAAATATAGTGGCTCTAATGTCATATAATTTCAGTAGGTATGAAATCTCTGTCTCTAATGTCATGTATTTTTGTTTGATTGAAAAAATTGCAGTTTGCACTCCGCAAATATGTCATTTAATAAAATTTCCAACTTCCGTGAGCTGCACTTTTTCAATGATCCCACCATGTGCCAAAATATCCTGCACAACAAAACAACTACAAGTCAACCTAAAACATTTCTTTATAGATCGCATAGTTGTGGTCTAGTCAGAACAGTCAGACTGCATTATCACGTGATCAGTTGCCACTCAAGTGAAGACAAATGTTAGTGTTGACTGTTTTTAGGGTAAAATTAGAGATTAGGGCAACACGTGCATGGGACTTAGTAAAAAGTTTGCGGCTGCTGGCTTGTCAATGGCTTTCAATGGCTGAGATATGGAATTTATGGCTAAAAAAATTAAATCATGGCTCGAAGAAATGGAATCATGGCTGGAAAATCCATAAAACCATGGCTCTAAAAATTTAGTTGTGGCTTGCCAAGTAGATATATTTCATGTTTCTTGGGAGGTAAAACATGGTTGGCCTTCCAATCCATTTTGTTATGCTGATGCAAACGTGAAAATATAATGCCTATCTAGAATTCCGCAGTCACTGTAGCGGTGCCTGGAGAACTGTCCTAATTTACCCTGCATGTCCCTTATTAGGTACCCTGTTTGACAGTACCTATATGAATCTTACAACAGAGGAATACCGGTAGTAGTTTATATTTTTCTAGCATGTTTGAAGGCTTTTTCTAGAAAATTTTTTGCTAAGATGTAGAAAGAAATGTTGAGATCCAAAGAGAGACAGTGCGTGTCATCCAGTGAGAACATCGAAAAATGTGTCAAAGTTGATAGTTGACCTTGCTCTACCAAATAGTGATAAAGTGTTTGGGTAGAAAGAATGTTATGGTTTGAGACTTTTAAATAAGTCTGTGAATATATTAGGAATCCTTTAAGTATACTTGTATTTGCTGATTTTAAGTGGTAAATAAATTCAAAGATGATTAAGTTAAGAGACGGTTTTAGACACATAGGTAAAAACTAATTCCGACACACCTTGGAATTGGACACACACAGCTTGTTCTGAGCTATGTTCAAAAATTAAAATGTTCTTAATTAAAAGCTTAATAGCTCTTAATTAAAAGCCTAATTAAAGAATAAAAATTTGTTAATTAAGCTTGTTCCGAGCTGTGTCGTATTCCGATACAGCTCACACAGGGCGTCGGAATTACGAATTAGTAAAAGTTTGAAGCGCTGTCAGAATTAGTCTCACATTATGCCACATTTAGTCACACACAGTGTCGGAATTTAGCGATTTTGTAGATTTAAATTCTAGAGGCTTTTAAATAAATATGGCAACAGTTTGTGACATTTCATCATTGCTGGCGCATAGTGTGGTGTTTTGAGACATTGAGAGTGACGTTTACCAAGCAGAACTCAAGTTGCGCATTCGCTGATCTATTTATAGCCATTTATTTCTTGCTACATCCTCAAGGTGTTGGAATATGGTGTGTTTACCCTTTACAAATTGACAGTGATAGACTGGTGGGAGGCAGGGCTGGAAAAGTCTTTTTTTTTCTGAAATATAGCGGCTCTAATGTCATATAATTTCAGTAGGTATGAAATCTCTGTCTCTAATGTCATGTATTTTTGTTTGATTGAAAAAATTGCAGTTTGCACTCTGCAAATATGTCATTTAATAAAATTTCCAACTTCCGTAAGCTGCACTTTTTCAATGATCCCACCATGTGCCAAAATATCCTGCACCACAAAACAACTACCTACAAGTCAACCTAAAACATTTCTCTATAGATCACATAGGTAGTTGTGGTCAAGTCAGAACGGTCTGACTGCATTATCACGTGATCAGTTGCCACTCAAGTGAAGACAAATGTTAGTGTTGACACGTGCATGGGACTTAGTAAAAAGTTTGCAGCTGCTGGCTTGTAAATGGCTTTCAATGGCTGAGATATGGAATTTATGGCTCAAAACAATTAAATCATGGCTCGAAGAAATGGAGTCACGGCTGGAAAATCCACAAAACCATGGTTCCAAAAATTCAGTTGTGGCTTGCCAAGTAGATATATTCCATGCTTCTTGGGAGGTAAAACATGGTTGGCCTTCCAATCCATTTTGTTATGCTGATGCAAACGTGACAATATATTGCCTATCTAGAATTCCACAGTCACTGTAGCGGTGCCTGGAGAACTGTCCTAATTTACCCTGCGTGTCCCCTATTACCCTGTTTGACAGTATATGAATCTTACAACTGAGGTACTATACCAGTAGTAGTTTATATTTTTCTAGCATATATGAAGGCTTTTTCTAGAAAATTTTTTGCTAAGATGTAGAAACCTATTTCAATAAATTCAACCATATATCCCTATAAGATTAACTAGCAATATATTGCTGTCATATGACACCTGGTTAATGTGTGTGCAAATTGTACACTACTTTTTACTGAATTTTCAATCATAATTGACTCAACTGATTGTTCACATAGACTTTGATCAAATAAGGGTTTTTTAAGGTCATATTTTCCTTATTGTATGTATGTATTGTGTGTGGTTATGAAAAATTTTTCCTCTCATGTACTCCTAGGATGATCAATCTACCAGTTCTGGTGTCTCCTTCAACAAAGAAGTTGGAGCAATGCTTGTGTTGTTGCCACGGCAATTTTTCTTCAACTTCTATGGCAACAGTTCAACTTCTGGAACAAAATCTTCTGAAGATTACGATAAGATATGTCAAGCTATGTTCAAGGTAGGTAATTAATTATTTATAAAATTCAATAATTTTAGCCTATCATAATGCACTAGAGTTATTTCCTCTAAGTTGTAATTCCTACAACTTATCTATATACAGATTGAGTAGTGGTTTACTATAAACTTACTACCTATAAGGTTTGAAGCACAGTGCTTGAAAACTACAGGGGCTGATTGAACTCATATTGACCAATTTCAGTCAATAGCAGTACGTACCAGGTTGATAAATTTACTGGACGGTGGTTAGAAATCTGGGGAAATTGAGTCTGGTTTTGCACTGCACTCTGTACTAATTAGCTTCTACTTGAAAACTGTATACAAAAATACATAAACTACATTACCAGACATTTAAAAAAATGCCAACCCTAGGATAGGAAGTCGAGGTTGGTGTGTATAAAACACCACATTACATTGCTAGACACCTTTTTTACAGGGGTTTGATACTTTTATTTGCTAAATTTGCCTTTTGATTTACCAATGTCATCTAAAGAATTGTTCAACCAATACAAAAAGACTTTTTTGTAACATTTCCTTGGCTTATTTTTCATTTGTGGAAGTCATGAGGAATTGAAAAATGTACCTGAGAGTTAGATTAAAATATTAGAAAAAGATTTTTATTTAGTAACCATTCACATTTTTAATTTATAAAAAGTTCATAATAAAAACTTTAATCTTGTATGAATTTCAGTATGGGATTTAACTGGAAGTTCTTTCATAACTATGTATTTGAACTGGTCTCCCTCTAACTAACAAAATTTTGTTTTAATATTAGGTAGGTAGGTACCTATTGACTTTTTTCGTGACAATCATATTTTTATTAGCAATTGTCCTGAATATCCAATCCAGGGGATTGCTAGCATAACATTCTGGTTATGAATAAATTACCGTAACATTGTTACCATGTGTCTCTAGTGGGCGAGACAAACTAATTGTCTGCTTATGGATTTAGAGGTAACTATCAAGGTGAAAGGATAATGAAACAATTTCTCTATAAAATTAATAAAGGGATCTTGTACAAAATCAATCAAAACACATGACTCAAGTACAAAACAAACTCTAAGGGTATTAATGACTAATAAAAATAATGTGTGGATTGCAAATGTGTAGTGGATTCTAAAAGTGTACTAGAAATTAGAGCATGGGCAGGCGTAGGTGGTTTATGTGCCAGTTAACTGAAAAGCATAACTAAAATTAATTGACAGAAATTAAATGGCAACGCTCATGACAAAGCTTTGGAAAATGAGAAATATTTTAAGGTAAATTAACCAATCATGGCCATCATGCCAATTAAGACAATAAACATGCTTGAAGCATAAATTAAGTAATGGAACAGAATCAGAATCATAGTTTATGAAGGTACAATGAACAAATTAAGATTTCAAGCTTAAAACTCTAAACTTAACACGTTTCCTGCGACGGCTCTTTTGCTGCTATGCACGACACCTGCGATGTGACCCACCGGTGGGTCCCAGTCTTCTTTCCATTGTTGCGATGTGACCCACCGGTGGGTCCCACTTTAATTTTTTCTTCCTTTTATAATTTGCAAAAAAATATAAGTCTATATTGACTACGCGTTATACATGTGTCCTAGTATTACTATATAAAGGTTAAATTAAAGAAAGATATGTAAGAACAAAGGTTTATCGAACTTCTAATTCATGAAAATTAGAATCTAATTCGAACTTCTAATTCTAAAATTCATGAAAAAGATGCAGAATAAAAATATCATTACATTTGTTAGTAAATAAATATTTTACTTTTCATGTTTCATATTGAAACATGGTAGGCAGAGATAAGGTGAACCATCACATGAGTCACAAAATGTAGATACTTTTCGAGATTTGGTTTTAGTTGCTTTGGAACCTTCGTTTTCGGATATCATTTCATAGCAGCCGCGGCACCTTTTTCTTGTTTCCCTTATGGGCCCTTCAGCTTCCTGAAGATGATGTCCAGATGTTTCAGAAATTTTCAGGGAAGATTTTCCAGGCTTTATTTTCTGCTCCATAACGCCACAAGTATAGGTAGTACAGTACAATGGATTCCTAGAATGCTCTCATTGTAATTTTCTTTTTTGAGTAGTATTTATTGTACAGTACCCACGCATTCACAATAGAAGTTCCAGTATATAATTCTAAGGCAAATTTTTTGTACCATTTCCTCGACTTCTTTAGAGGAGAATAATAGGAGGACGCGCATATTCAAGATCGCGCATATTCAAAGCGCATATTCAAGATCGGAACTGTCATCACTGCACCCTGAAACGATATCTTCAGAACTAGAGCTAGCAGTAGTAGTCAATATTTTTTGACCCTTATAGAAAGCAGAAACATTCATGGTCACACCTACAAAAAATATCAATTAATTAAAACATTGAACAAACAACTTATGCATCGTGAATTCAACATATAAAATTTTTTAACATGGGACCCACTGGTGGGTCCCATCGCATTACAAGAAAAACATTATCTTCAGATGCGATGGGACCCACCCGTGGGTCACTGTTTTTCTTACCTAATCAAGCTGTAACATATGAGAACAAAACTCTGACAACCTCACTCCATGCTATCTCAGATGCAACTGAAGTTATCATACATATACCACCGTCGCAACAGGAGAATAGCATCGATATTGGCTGTCACCGTACACATAACACAGTGGTGACCCACCGGTGGGTCACATTGCAGGAAACGTGTTAATGACTGTAGATATATAACTTAACAAATAATATAACTTTGACTAAAAATGGTAATGAATCATATTGGCACTTAGAAGAGCATCACAAAGCATGGATTCGAATAGCTGGTACAGACTAAATAAACACATAATACAAGCACATAACAAAATGCACATCAGAAAATCTTGCAATGACAACAGTCAAATTAAGAACCAAAAGCCTCTAGTGAAAATTGTGAAAATGAAGCTTAAGTAAGAAAGACTTAAGCAAGACAGTAACACTCAGACACTTAACATCATCTTTCCATTAGCCTGAAGGGACAACATCAGCAGTAACTCACCTAGGCAATAGTCCTTCTAACTAGTACTGTAATAATAGCCTTCTGGATTCCCAATTGATCAGACAAACTACCACAGCTTCACATCAAGGCAATGACACTGGCAATGGAAAATAAATTGATGCTGGAATGAGATAAGAGAAAACATGGCAATGTTACTAATGAATACATCTGAGATAGGTTAAAATCAGCTAAATGGGAGAAGGCAGTAAGGGATGTGCGAAAACCTTGCTTAATTATGCTCCCTGTAACAACATAACAATTACTTATGATCTAACAATCCTTGGCATCAGTCATTGTTCAATGCTCAATATTGAAGAGTTGTATTTTTTGTCATGAAAATATGGTTAAATTGCTTGTCAATTTCTACTCCTAATCTACAATTGTTTAATATCCAATTTTGATCTTCATGTTAGTATTAAGAATTATGTTTACTTGTTTTGTATTTCATAATCATTTTATTGACATATTTCTTTCAAATTGTTCAGCCTAACTACTTTCATTTACTCGATACAAAAAATGTTCTCAGGACGTGTGGTTGGAAGCATACGATGCTCGCTGCCATGACACTGGTCGTGAAGACTTCTTGCGCCACATCCCCTGTCCAGTGGATCAGCTTTGTGTTGATGAAGATAATCCTGCAAATGTCATTCCTCAGTCTCAGCTAACTTATGCTATCAAGGACATCAATAATCCTAGGTTTCCTATTGATACCAATTGATTTAATATAAGCAATTGATTTTTAATGAAATGGGACCTTCTAATTTCATTTTGAATTGTCATTACTGCCCTGACAAACCAAGACAGATGTTTGTTGACTGTATTCTTTGGTTGTGTCTCTGTTTCAGTATGTGTTTGGAACATACCCTAATGCAAAGCCCTTGTTTTCTGAAGGGCTAAAAACCATGCTAATTTTTGCTAGGATCATTGAGTTTGATATTATTCACATCTAGTAGGTAATTTTTGAGCAAGTTAGATCTTTAGTGTAATATTCATTATGTTGAGTCTATTAGCTTCTTGCATCTGTATCTGTATCTCTTGCATCTGTATCTTAATTTCTGAAATTTGTTGATGAGGATTAATTTTTATTAGCAACTGTTCTGTCCTAGCTCTGAAATATTGAATACTGGTAAATTTGTATTACTACTTTCTATTACTAGTAAACTATTTGAAAATAATTGAAAGAGATGTTACAGTATTTCCCTGCTTTGTGCAGATTTTGGTACCTGTCCTTAGTGGCTTGTGGTCTGAATGCTTCATGCGGGTGGCAGTACAGCGGAGATGACATCAAGGTGTCATACCACCTCACTCTTGTCAATGGCAAACCACCTGCCAAAGATCATGACTTCTTTGCTTATCATTTCTCTTGTGAACAACAAGTAAGACAGTCTGTCTTATTACACATATCTTAAATAAGGTATGTCAAATACTACTGATATTAATGTGAATGGAATTTGTTGTTCGAGTGTTCAATTGTGATTATCTGCTTGTTTCTCACAGTCTTCAAATATTTATAAATATTCATAACCTTTTTATTTCAATAAATTTCATTTGAGACATAGGTATTACTGCCTTGTAATGACATTTTTTCCTCTCAAAAGCATTTCCTGATTTCTACATTCCTGTAGAAATGCTCAAAGCTCATTCCTTCCCTAGGATGTTGGAGAACTGGTGTTGGTGTGTCTGCTGCTATATTTTTTTCTGTTGCTGCCTCTCCAAATTTATGCTACTTATAAAATGGTGAGAAAATTGTCCCTTTTTTATTGGATTATTTTTTATTTACTCCATTTACCTACATGCTGACATGAAATTTTTTCTCACTGCATAGGTAGGTACATAAAGAACAGGTTGGATGCTAGGTATTATTATAACATTGCAAATCATGCAGCAGTGTGATGAGGATAAAATAAAAGACCCATTGTGAGTCCTCATTGACAATTCTATGTCAATTGTTCAAAAACTGAACCAGCACAAGTACAGTTTTCAGTAGCTTTTAAGTCGACTTGAATGGTAACCCCTGCTATTTGTTTTAGGAAAGCCGAAAAATAAACTAGGTAATTATCTCCCTCCAGCGGCTGCGTGTACTCGAAGTGTTCCTCTGTGTTCTATCCCTGCAAAGCCTTGGACTTGTGTTTGCCATGACTGCACAGGTGAGCTGCATATATAACCGGTACTCATTAGAAAATAATATTAAAAATGAATTACTGAATATTTTTGAAGCTCACCATAAAACATTCATCATTTAATTCCAATTCTGCTAAGTGTGAAAAATCAACTACTCTGATATGGGAATTTCTGTTGACCATTGATGTGGCTAATAGCAAACACTCTCTTTGCTCATCCCTTTGATGAGGCAAATATTGGTAAACAAGCTCTGTTCACTTCTGTTTTCTGTTCATGAATCATTGAAGTGATCAACAAATATTATTTTCGTTGATCATTTCTATTTGTGAATAATTTGAGGGTAAATTTCCTGAGTGAAATTTTGGTTGATTCACTAAGAACATCTATTATATATGATCGTGGTTGTTGAAAACAATGTATTATCTCTTCAGATTTTTTAATTTTGGAAATTGCCTGTTTAATATACGAGCACTTGTTGGCTAGATCATAATGGGTGCCAGCGGCAAGTGGGTGGCTTGGGTGGCAGCAGCAGGTCAAATCTGCACGCTGCTCTGCGAAGCCGTGTTCCTCCTGCTGCTGGTGCTGCTGGCACGAGGCTGGTCGGTGACGGCCGCCACGGGACAGCACACAGTCGGTCTCTACCTTATCTGGGGCTCCTACACTGCCGTCACGCTCGTCCTCTGTACCTGGAACTTGGTTTGTTGAATCTTAAGCCAAAACTCAAGCTGATCCTGTCATCAGGCTTTTAGATCCAAAAAATATTAAAGCATTGATTGATGGGATATTTTCTATAACTGTTGTTTTTGCAATGACTGAATAGTCCCAGTCGATAGGCGTTATTATGCTCATTGTTTAATGAGATTTTATTGCTTGGTTTGTTAAGTCTGAAGATAAGAGAATACTCAATTCTTGAATTTGAGACACTATTAGAAAACTTGAAGGCACTGCTGAAACTTATAATTGATGCAAATAAATATTGTTGAAATTGACGATCTTGTAAGATGTGAGCTTACGGCCTCTAATCAATTCTTCTCTATTACAAACGAGATAAAATAAGACACAATTATTTTTACTTGGTCTAACTTTGCCATATGATGAGATACTGCACACGTTGATATCAAATATAAAAATTTACATACTATGTGATCAACGCAACTGATTTTATACTCTGAAAAAATTCATTCAAGTAAAAAAATATATGTCTGAGACGTATATATTTGTTTTTTCTTTTCTTACCAACATTCCATGAAAGCCAGAAAAAAATGAGTAGCTGAGCAGTTTTGGTTCTCACGAACGTTTCTTTCAAGATTGTACATGCGAAATGCATGTAGGAGCTCCTGCATTTTCATTCTCACAAACATTTCTTTCTCCTTGAAAATGTATGTGAACAACATGCACATATTCGTTGTGACGAGTCTGTGTGTGCAGGTGATGGTGTCGCCCATGGAGGACTCGTACCAGTACGGGGCGTGGCTGGGTATCTTCGCGCTGGTGCTGCGCGGGGTGCTCACTGTCTGGTATTTGTGGGAGCTGCGCAACACGATGCTCATTCAGCACCATCCTAACACGCTGCACTTTCTGCTTCAGGTCTATACGCAACACAATGCGTTTTCTACACGTTCAAATTGTTTTCGTACATTTCTTGTTCTGTAGAAAGTGGATTTCAAAAATGTTGATTTCTAAGTGATACATAAATTCAAGATATTGTGAACAGTGTTTCATTTAATGAATAATATACGGTATATTGATAACTACTTACCAAACAAAGGGAGAATGTTGTTGTTTTTATTTTGCAATAAATTGATCATCGAATAATTTCGTGAACAGCAAAGTTTGAGTGTAGGCAGACATAATGTGTGTTGAAGTTCTATGATTTAGTTTGACATGGGAAAGCCGTGTTGATGCAACTATGGAAATGTGGATAAAATATGGAGTTTCTAGTAAACAAAAATATGCTCTCGAGTATCGTGCTTCAGCAAATTATGTTCTCAGAATTTACATCATCTTAAATTTATCATTTCGAACTTGAAGTTGAGTGTTGGGGAAATTTTTCTGAACACATTATGCAAGTTACATTGGTTACCGAAGATACAGAAATCACGTAGTAATATTCTATTATTATAAAGATCATGTAACAAATTCCCCTCAGGGGGGACTTCTGACGCGTGTCTGTGCTCGTCAGAAGTCCTATGGGATTTCTCGCTCTTAGGGGGATTGTTCCTGAGCGCCCCACCGCTGAGCGTGCAGTGTCTGACTGCAGGTCTCAGTTGTGGGGTCAAGTTATTATGTAGGTACATTAAGTTATGTAGGTAGGATTCCTTGCATCAAGTTATTATGTAGGTAGGATTCCTTACATTAAGTTATTATGTAGGTAAGATACCTTACATTAAGTTATTATGTAGGTAGGATTCCTTGCATTTCCCTTCTCTGTCTCTCTCGTGCGGGCGGCCGACGTCCCGTGTAAGCGACCTCTTGTTCGCGTGTCTTAGTTTCTGTTGCTTTTCACCTGTCCCTCCTTGTCACTTCGTCTCTTTGAGATGCTAACGCTGCTTCTGTCGAGCCAGCTTCGGCGGGCTGGACAATTGAGACCTTCCGCCCCTTGTGGGTGATGATTAATTTGAGATTTTGAATAATTGAGACCTTCCGCCTCGCTGGCGATGTTATATTTTGACTTTCGGTGCGAAATAGCTTGATAGCTGAAGCGCTAGCAAACTATACTACTACTACTACTTATGGAACAAATTAATAGAGTTTGATTTATTCAGCTGGGGGCGGCGTCCCTGGTGTGGCTGGTGTACCTGCCCGTGGTGGCTCTCGTCGCCCTCCAAGTCTCTCCGCTGTGGAGACCCAAGCTATTGCAAGGTCGAGTCGAGCTCTTATCTATAGTTAACTTTTGTATCTTTTAGCGATTAGCAACTAAGTGTGAAGTGCGCAAGCTGAATGTATTTATGCGCCAGTCTTAAATCTTAGTAAATGATTTTGACGTATGTTTTGTCATAATTATCTTTTTTTCCTAATAACTACTTTGTTAGCAAAACCAAGTCTTAGCTGCCATTGAAACCTGTGCTATTGAAATTGAGGTAGGGATAAACAACGTTTTTAAATGATGGCTGAAATCAACAGAGATTTTTTAGCTCATAACTGTAAAAGAATCACTTTGGATCTTCTGTTCCGCAATCAAAGTCCCATCGTGTAATTTTTTTCTGAATAGCTATTTGTAAGTAGTTTGCTTATCTGCAAGTTCACTATGAGAACTTTCAGATTCTGAGAATCCTCGTGCATTGTTGTATTTTTCGAAGTCCTCAAACATTATTCATGGAGATTTCAAGCGTTTGCAAAATTTTAAATGCACTTTTGTTTGTAAAAGATTCTGGCATTTACCTATATTTGTCAGATATTTTTGCATTGCTACGGTATGCTTCCGATTACATTGCACTGATTTTTAATTTCATTTCCTCTGCAATTTTTTTACATTGCTTTGAGGTTATTGGTAATTTGGGGTAAAAGTGATTCCAGCTCATTTCGCTCTTAATTCGCAGGGTTCCGGTACACTGCAGATTTTCTAGCGCATGTCTTCATGGCGTACACTTTATACCCTCGGCAATCTCATCCGTACGTCATCCTAGCCACTCCAGAGGACCACTGCGAAGAACTGGACTTCTTGGACCAGGCGCCGCAAGTGCTGCATCGTCGCGCACAGCGTCTTCGTCGCGGGGACCAGCGGTCTAGTCTCAGTGAAGGCCTGGGTGAGAACGGAGACATGCGAGTGCCATACACAGACCTGTTAGATGCTGAGGAAACAGTTCAGTTTGAACGGTTTTCAGGAACACTCGAGTCCGGTGTATCTGATCTCCATATTTTCGGGGTAACGGATCGAGCCCGTTCTGGTGTCTCGAATCAGATGAATAGCCCCGCTAAGTACGAGTTTCAAGTTAACAGAAATGACGTACTCGTCACAACCGACAACGGACGTTATTTTGATCCAGAGGCTTTAGAACGAAGACCTGTGACTCTTTCAAGTTCAGTTAAGCTAATTGAGTTGGACGACACAGACAAAGCTGAGGCGTCATCTGACTATTACGTTAATAATCTCCTCGACGGATCACACTCTTCCCCATTACCTCCCCAAGGTGTTGTTGCGTCGTCCACCTCAACATCCAAGGAGGGTTTCTCCCCAGAGTTCCTTTCAGATGAGTCAGATACTGAGCTGCTTGTTGTCGTCAAGGATAAGAAGTCATGGCCGCTATGAAAACACCTTACCACTTTAGGTGGTTGAAAGACTCCGTGGATCAGCCTCTTCTTTTGGCTTCACCGGCGATGCTCATATTATATGAATCGATTTCTTTATTGTCGAACTAACTTTTGCCATATGACGGTGACGGCCGCCACAATCACCTTGAATCCCCTTGTATCAATCCCCGTGAATCCTCTTGTGAATTAATGGGGATTGACGTTTATAGTTGCTCATATTGAGTTTGCTGAACGCTTTGGTCTGATAAAATTTTCATATTTTTACTTGATGTGTATATTTAAATACCATTTCGATTATACTTACGTCAGGGATATTAGCTAATGTATCTACAACGGTTACATCATTTCTAATCTGAGCCTTCAGTTACAATGTCAAATTGAAAACCTCTTTGTTATCCAAGCCTCCTTTATCTACTATGTTGAAGTGAACGCTAATCTCCAGTGCGAGAAATTTTATCTAGTTATTTCACATAAAGAACCTTCATTGTGGCCTAAATTTCAAGCTTTTTTTCGAACGTAGAGGACGAAATTTTCCAAAATCGAGAAATAAATACTTTTGCAAGGAATAAATTTCCCGTCTCAAATGTTTCTTTAATAAGCCTTCTCTCTGGTTTTCTTCAGAGCATTCGTGCTTGAGCAACACTTTTATACGAGAACCTAATGGGAGATTTTCAATGTAATATTGATTCAATTTTGTAGCGATCGATTCACTTCGACTGATTTTCTAGCTGCACTTCTGTGGCCGAACGTTCATATCCGTGCCAAACACCGTGACTTGCCAAGATTTGTACGTAGGATTTTACATGGAAACTATAGCCATATCATGTGATCAAACTCTTATTGGGTATTTTTATACGAAGTTCTATGTCACGATTTGAATTTCGGTGACACGGTTCTACATGAGTTACTCAAATAGAATTATTTGTTCCGTATTTTGATTATTGACTTATGTTTGTAGTGGAATTATTATTTTGTACCTACTTTATATTTGTTTGACTGGTGACGTTAAAGGATATAACCCGTTTTATTTGTTCAATAGATCATAGCCTTACATTTTATTCTAAGGTATCCGTGGCTGAATTGTGTAATTTCTGATCACAAGATTGGAAATAAGGATGGCTATTAGTTTGCCGAGAGATTTACTAAGCTATGATAATTATTTATTTCTAAATCTAAGGAGCTCTTGTGTGCCGTACTTATTAAAATATGGTCTTACACCAGTTCTGACATTCATCGTGGTTACGTTATGATCATCATTTCTGTTCGTATATACTCTTTTATTACATATGGTTTGTTTCTTTCTATTAGCTTAAATCATAGAAATGTGTTGAAGACTAAGAAGTGGTAACAGGAGATAGTTATATGCAGGTTTTACTAGCATTTACATAATAAAGAATGAGTTCATAATAAAATAGGATTTAGCTCCCGTCTGATAAATTTGTCGCGTTCTATTTTTCTTGGATGTTGCATTCCTCCGTCGTTCGGTACGGAAATTACACTATTTATAATCGTCATCTACGACTATTTAATGTTACCTGTTTAGACGAGATTCCTGTGATTGCCGTTAGGATGTCCCTTATACAGATCTCCATTCGTTGAGGGTGAAATTACAGTGGGGGGAAATAAATATTCGTACACTTGAAAAATCGTATTTTAATGTATGTAAGTACACAAACTTAACAGGAAAAGTGATTTAAATTATGTATAGAGACGCATAGTATTCAAAAATACTATCAAAAGAAATTAAATCTCAATGCAACAAAAAACAATGCAACATGTTATTTCCTGTTAAGTTTGTGTACTTACATACATTAAAATACGATTTTTCAAGTGTACGAATATTTATTTCCCCCCACTGTATATTAAGCACATTGTGGAGGTTTCAACGTTTGAAATATTACTGTAAATAGCACAAGCCGTTTCTTTGGTTTAGCTTAGTTGAAGTTTTGCAATATGTTGACGATATAGCGGCCTCATGACATTGCCATTTACGAGCGTAAAATAAAATCTAAGCTACCTGAAGTATTAATTTATCCACAACTCTTTATAACTTTCACTCTTTGTTATACAATATTAGTCGTATGATCAACACCTTCTTTCGATAATTCTTCAGATTTTATTAGCAGCTAATTAGATTTGTTGCAGTGGAGTTAAACTCTTTTTATCCGAATTATTTTATTTTATTTTTTGTAGATACTTCTTTATGTGACTGTTCATTATTCTTCATTCAATAACTTAATTACTAGGCGTGTGTTTCCATTAATTCTGTTTACGTTTGGTGTCAATACATTAACATTTTATTATCGCATAGAAGTGCTGTTGTTCTTGTATTTTCTCATATTCTGGTACGGTTTTTTGGTGGTGTGTGACGCATCTATCATCGTTAGAATCTAAGCCAATGCAAGGATTACCGCCTTGATTTTGTAAAGGATACTTTCTTAACTTAATCATACTCCTGCTATAGAATGAAGTTATGTTTTTTCCTATTTCATTCTTGACTTTAGAAATTATTAATAATATGATTGTGCTGTGTGTAGCCTCTGTTGTCCGCTGTAGGTGTTGCAGCCGTGGGGTCGTTCTAATCTCAAAACATTCGTCGGCTACGGTGCCGTCACATTACAAGTTGATGATCAAATAAAACTTATTTATCTTCTGGGGTTTTTCATCACCAATGATGAGCTCATTGTCCAGCCGCTATGGTGGATCAGGATGAATCATAGTTTTGAACCATTGTCGGACTACAAAGATCCGAATTTACCTACACTTGGTAGGTACTATAGAACATTGAAAAATTATGATTCTTGACGAAGATTAATAAATGAAGAGCTCGTAAACTTGTGTAAACTGTGACCAATGGTCACTGGAGATTTAAGCGCTCGATTAAAGCGATGTCTGCGATGGTCGTGTAGGTATTTGATTAACGCCTTGACAGGGTAAAAGCTATCAGACTAGACTGCTGCCTCTCCGTACCCCAGGGGTCCACGCACTTGATACAAAATTACTGAAAGTTACTAAATCGGGTACGGACTTGTACTAGCAACATAACTGTGTCTGTCACCATTCTATGCCTAATGCATATCCCAAAATGTAAGCAATTCTTTATCTCGGCAGTAATTTTTGATGGAAAAAGTAAATCGTTTTCTCATTTAAAGTAAAAAAATATAACTCATTACTCACTGCAGTGAGTGACAGAGAGCGCATTTTCTCGTCGACGAAAACTTGAAGTCACGGACGGACAGACAGACGGACATGGCGAGCACAATAGTGCATTTTTCCCATAACTGAGAAAATGCGCTAAAAAGCGGTTGAAATTTAAGCAATCATCTTCAAGGTTAAATTATTTTTTTAGCACAGCCAGCGCACAGAATAGCTTTCCAAATCGTCTGACATCTGGAGAACTGATAAGAGGACGACAGATAAACCTAGTGATACCAGAGTCGCTCCGTCCACGAGTCATTCATTGTCTCGCTTGATTTGCATGTGTGTGGAGTGCAGTGTATTGATCGACTTATGAATATCAAAGCATACAAGTAGTTCAAGTGTCAAAATAAAAAACTCCACAACTGAAAAAAAGTTTGATTCACTGTGATGGCGCTCTAAAAGGTTATGCAGGCCTGTTTATTTCTTGGGCCTGTTTATTTCTTAAACGCTTTGGTTCCGATGCCGCAGAAACCAAGAATCATATTGTAAAATTAAGAAGGAATGAATCATCATCTTACTCAGAATTGGAAGTGAACTCTTCAGACTAACCATGAGTTTCGTACACGCCCTAGTGGAACATTCAAGAGGTCACGTGTTCAGTTTGGGTCTTCAGGCTCACGTCCGAATTACTTACCATTGACAATAACAGGCACGGCATAGAGCTGTAATATTAGTTGGGAATTTTTAAACCTTATTCGTTCATTAAAAATTTTGTCACTGGATCTCCATCATTGCATGATTTGCATCAACTCTTGATGAACAATGTACATATACACTTCTTGTCGGAACCATGAAAATTGAGAAGCATGTCGGGAGACATTTGAAACGTAAATAGAGGAGTGCTAAGTAAACTTTAAACTCAGTTATTTATATCCCTTTACGCCCTGAATTTCTGGGATGAAAATCGTAAAATTTACTTTTTCTGTTTTAAGTCTCACTTCAAAGCTGACATTCTGACCTATCCAACGGTACCAAAATCGTCTCTGTACGTTGATTTATGCCTTGACGACAGTTCGTGAAGGGGTTAGGGGTGGGGGAGTTCTTTAACATTTAATATGGGCGAAAATTACTGGTCGGGCACATAAATAGACAACCTGAAGAATCTAAGACTTTTTTTATTCATGTGAATTTTTCGAAAAAATGACAGAAAACGTGAAATTGTTGGAAAACCGATGTTTTTTTCTGTGTGACGAATTCGTCACCCCAGGGCGTAAAGGGATATGATATGATAAATTTAAAGCGTTGATTAGCTACATGCTTCTAAATGAACAGAGTCAATTTTTGTGCGCGGAGAGTGGTTGTGTTTTTTTTTCCAAAAATTCATTGACCAAAAATTTAAGGTTCAAAATGATACCGCTCAACGAGACACGGAACTAGCTAACTAGCTTCTTTCTCTTGTGTTCCACGGAATGCAACGTTAAAGGACTGAATATTCAACACTCAGATCGCGTAGAATTGATAACAGATTCAATTTATATACCAAATTATGTAGACAATTCTTAGTTTTTCGTTCAACTCCACAATTTGGCGAAACCTCAAACATTCATTATTTTTTGATCAATCGATTCTAGTCACCTCAAGCGATTTTTTTTGCGATTTCAGCGGAGGTTTTCTCTAGGTCCCACTGTTACATTCACTCAGTCAGACACTCACTTCTTCCTCAGATTTACCCCAAGTCCCAATATTACATTCACTCACTACTTCCTCTGATTTACCCTAAGTCCCACTGCTCCCCTCCCTCTCCCCAACCAGATGAGGCCCCATCTCACTTCCCTGCCTCGGCTCGCCCCACGGTCGCTGTTCCAAGCATTAATGAGGAGGATTTTTTACCCCAGAACCATTCATTCTGTGTGGGGACAGCTGCTCCGACAAATCCTTCCGTTATTAACCCTAGGATTTTTTTTATTCGTGGTCAGGATGATCACGACCACAGGATACGGTGTTCACGTCCAGTGAGTATCAGACTTTTTTTTTTCTACGGTAAGATTTTAATAACAACTGTGACGCTTCTTCCCTACATTTGCTAAGTAATTTAAGTCTCAAAAATTAGTTCTGGCTTAGTACAAAATTAATTTAACAAATATGATGTTTATTTACGAGCGTTCTTCAATAGTCACAGATTATTCCTCATCGGACATTAATTGCACCAGATTTTGTCAGCAGGGTGCATACTCTTAATTAAAACACATTAAGTAAGAACATCTACTTGTGATTTGCAATTTTCTTTCAATTATTGCAGGAAAAATAATAAACCATTCCAGTAACACTGAAGAAAACCTTCAGAATAACCTAAAATATTGATGAACAGTTTTGCCGGTCTTTTTATTATACAGTTTAATTGTTTTTTCTCTGACCTGAAGAGGATTTGGCCTCCTATTCGTTCATGAAAAAATAATATGTGAAACACTTAGGCGAATAATAGTTGTTCGCTGAATGTGTTCGCTCAATTCGCTCGTAAAGTTTCTAGCAAAGTTGTCCGATGACTTAATTCTGCTCTCTGCTTAATAATGAGTTACAGGTTCACCAAGACTGAAAGTTTACAATATAAAATGGAGTTATTGGTAAAAACGTACTCTAATCCCTTACAACTTCCATACACGGTGGCGGCTGGATTTCGAAGTCGATTCCCACCGCACTAATCTTCATTACTCGCCGATTACGATATGACGCTTGACTTTTTATTGCGTAGCGATTTGTAGGAAGCCTTTATAAGAGCTTCATAAAACACAGTTCATGAAGCGCTCATCTCATTTATGATCACCCCAAAGTTCACGCGTCGCCGCAACTTTACGATGCAGTTCCTTAGCAGGCAAGCTTTAATAGGGCTCAAGATGCCGCGTCCGGCCTCAAGCTGCGTCTCTGTGGTCCTGAGATAAACACTGTCTCTGGATGCGCTTTCGCGCACCAGATTATCTTAGTTTTGGTTTATTAGAGAAACTCTAATGACTGATGATCGTATAGACTTAACTTGAGCTTGATGATGGATTTAGCCCGAAACTTTACGGGGCTTATGATGATCTAGCACTGCCTGGAGAAATTCTTACCTGATCACACAATTAAATAGGAATGTATAATACACTGATGACGATACCGCGGCAAATATTTTATCGAAATTTTGCCGTCCTTTCTTCTGAGTTTAATCCGCGTGAGAGCTTGGCAGCGGCTGAGCTCTAAATAAATTAATTATAAATTGGCGGCCAGTACCCAAGACTTTCAATTATCATCGGCATGGAATGACTAGCCTCGCGTCTCTGCAATTTACGGCCGTCATTTGCGTGGAGATTTTATGCAGGCCTGCCCTTATGATCGAATGCATTTAAGTAAAAATAAAATGCAGATATTTTCGCTCAGCGCATTTTAATGAGTGTACCTAAATGTTAATGCTTGATGGAGGGGCTAGTGATAGTATATTAAATGACGATAAAGTTGAAGACGGTCACTATTTAAGTTGAATGCACGAACTTAAGTTCAGAATTTTTTTTTAAATATTAGATATGCTGTCAACCTCAATGCAAATACTGATAAGTGAAGAAAATTGTTTTAACTCATGGAATTCTAACGCGTTGAGCACTTCCTGGAAGTTCCATGCTTCTATTTAATTGTACTAATTTAAGTTATTTTGTAGATGCGCGTGCGGGTCCGTCATCGCTACGGGAGAGCGAGAAGCGCGATACCTCAAACAAATCATGGAAGAAGTTGACATTACAACCAACAAGTATGCCCATTAATTTTCTTTTCATTTCAAAAATTTTTATTTAGAATGCCCTTATCTGATGCGCTAGAAATTTGTTCAACTGCCACCGGTGCATGCATGATTGAAACATACATTCACCGATGAATGATCCATGATGAATATTCAACTCGGACAAGAAGCTTTCTAAATACCTTATTAAACGCTCCATTTAATCCTTTTCCACCTCCTGCAGGAGTGCTGCGCAGAGTTTGCAGGAAGAGAACCCATCCCTGGCGGTATCCCTGCTACTACAGGCAGAGTACGCTGGTCACCGTTGTAGTGGCTCGCCAGGACTCTTCTCCATCAGACACAACAACTTGCTGTGGCAGGAGGCTAGTCTTGGGGCCAATACTTTGCTGATCTACTCAGCTTACTGGGACAACAGAGGTGAGTTCTTTATATGTTAATTTGGGGTCACTGAAAGTCTAATTATTCATTAGTCCCCAATGCCATCGCCCTGAGTAATCTGGGAAGACTGAAGTATTTGGACAAGTTTTATTTTATTTAGTAAATTTTAATTTTTCTTGATGGAACTTTATTACCAAAAATCCTAGTTTGAATAAATTTTATTGTACTCGTACCTTGTTGAAAATTTTTGAGTAAATAAAATAATGAAAATAGCTGTGCCTCAGTTTCTTTATCAAATAATTCTACTTGTATTTATTATAAAAAACTACAATGAATTCGGTCACCTTATCACAAGTACTTACCGTCAGTTGATTCTTTTCTGGATTGTTTATGTAAATCTTACCGTAAGTTGTAAGTTGCCTTGCGATTACGGATGCGTACGCCTTCTAGCAAGAGCAGATCTCTCAACTCAAGAATCATGTGTAGAGTCACTTTGGCTGCCTGAAAAATACAGAATACGTATTATATACACTCATAATTTCACTAATTATTATTTTCTTATTTCTCTGATTTCAATCTCAATGGAAAGATAGTAGTAAATACTATGATATCTGTTGCACGCACATATTTTGATCTCACGTTTTGAAAGATTTGGGGTTGAACTAAATCGCAAAACATGGCTAATAATCTAAATTAATAGAACTAATAAAATGCATAGTAAATCTATGTAATCCACACAAATTATTTTTTGGTTATGTAGGTGGGGAAAATATGGTGCGAATATTGGGAGTCTCGGACACTCCTTCCCCGTCGACGCCTTGGTGTCTCCTGCACACCCAGCCTGGCCGCCCTCCCGTCTCCACCCGCGCCGTGGCAACGGGTGAGCTCACACAGTATATTAACCTGGCCTCCCTCCCGTCTCCACCCGCGCCGTGGCAACGGGTGAGCTCATACAGTATATTAACCTGGCCTCCCTCCCGTCTCCACCCACGCCGTGGCAGCGGGTGAGCTAACACAGTATATTAACCTAGTTTAACCTAATTATTTGATTATCGACCTATTTTAACCTCCTCATTTGCACCGCCTGAGAACAATAGCGGATACGATTAACGTTAGAGGATAAACTCTGGGGGAGTTTATAATAATTGTAAATTTCCCTTCATTTTATTGAAATATTTTCATAAGTTTTTAATTTTTTTCAGTTTAGATTCACAGGTATCGTCCAGCTAAAAGACCTGCAGTTTCTTTTATTTATTCTAGATTTTCTTCACTGGCAGTACCCGCAAGAAGGCTACTGGCATCCCTTCCTGATATCCTGCAGCAGCGGACAAGTTAGACCCTCAGCTGTGTCCGTGGTGGGCTCTGCGTGCTCAGCGCCCACCAATGCCATTAAAGTCAACATCCCAGCCTGGGACTTGTTGAATCACGACGGAGGATCTCTAAATATTCCTAGTGTCAGAAATTTAGATGAAAATAATAAATTTATAAAGCACGAATCTCCGCTTGAGGTTATCCATACATCGGGATATGACGGGAAATATGAGGAAAAAACTTTAATTAACAAAGTAATGAAATTTGAGAATCGAAGTTTCATTTCAAACAAAGACTTTAAAGTCAGAAAACGTTTTGGTTCCGATGCCGCAGAAACCCAGAATCATATTATAAAATTAAGAAGGAATGAATCATTATCTTACTCAGAATTAGAAATTAATTCTTCAGGATCAGAACGAAACAATAATACCTTCCCGTCAAATTCTCCTCACAATAATGAAAATTTCGATGAAAAAATCAAGTCAGGCTGGAGTAAAAATGAACAGAACCTCATTGGAAGCAAATTAAAGAAGAAGAACTTAGCGCTCTGCACGAAGTTTCTGTTCAACGAGCAGCGCGACGACTCGATCAGGTGAGATGCCGCTACCTGATGGGCTTGGTTCCTAACAAAATTTAGAGTCGCCCCAGCTTCTGGTGATCCAAATCAGAAGCTGCTGCGTCTATATAGGCACTAATAAAATTTAGAGTCGCCCCAGCTTCTGGTAATCCAAATCAGAAGCTGCTGCGTCTATATAGGCACTAATAAAATTTAGAGTCGCCCCAGCTTCTGGTAATCCAAATCAGAAGCTGCTGCGTCTGTAGGCCCTAACAAAATTTAGAGTCGCCCCAGCTTCTGGTAATCCAAATCAGAAGCTACCGCGTCTGTAAATTTACGTGGAGGACCAAATCAACGAGTGGCTGCAGATTCTTTCATTTCTTTCACTCTTGGTAGGCCTTTTTGTATTCTTTTGATTCTAAATTTCGTATAAATGGGAAAATTTAGTCCGTATTAATTAAATTAATTAATCTCAATTCATGCCAATAACTTACAGAATTGTTCGATCATTTGCCACGTAGCTAAATATTTTTCTTCAGCTCAACGTATATCACCTTACCGTAGCAAAAAATATTTTAATTGTCTTATTGATCACTAAATCCCATGATTATACTCACATGATTATAATAAAAAAATTTTAAAGGCATTGGTGGGGGCTTTAATGTCATTGGTGGGCGCTTTTTTAACACAAAATTGAATTCAGAAGCACAAAATCAATGATTTGCTTCACTGCAGGCTAATAGAGTGGCTGGAGGCAGCGCGGGCGTGGGGTGTGGATGACGTCACAGTTTACGTCGCCAGCGCGCACGCTAACGTCCTGCGCGTCCTCAAGCATTACATGCAACAAGGACTTGTGACCATCCTGCCCTGGACGAATCCTGGGCACTATCCTAACAACCCTGCGCTGCAGAGGGCGCTCTATGATACTCAAAGGTCTATGATACTCAATACATGATTTCTTAATTAATTTTTATTATCTAGAATTATGATAAAATCGAATGACATGCAATAATTCGTTATTGCGTCGTGTGAGAAAAAGTGAGTAAGGAAAAATTCTTCGCGCAAAAGTACAATATATTCAGCATGTTTATTGTTTTGAAAATATACCAACCATCTTTTTTGGTGGTTTAATTAATTATAAGTTAAACTTTCTATTAAGAGGAATAATGCATTGTCTGTAAATATTACTTTAACTTTGCTCTTAACCATTTAAAAAGCTATGGGCTCAGTGTTCAGAAGGGTCTCAGACTAGCCTTGGGCTCAGACGTGCCTCGGGCTCAGATTTGATTGTCCTTTATCAATATTTCGATTCTTAATATAATCTCGTCTGCGAAAGAAAGATTAAATTCATACCCGATTTCGGATTTGTATTTTGATTTTAACTGAAATATTAATCATCGTTATGCTTATTTACTCACATCTAACAACAGGTACGCACTTTTTACCCTGGAAAATATTCCGTACACGGACTGCCTGCTGCGACACCTGTACAGCCACCGCTACGTCGCTGTGTGGGACATGGACGAGTTTATGCTTCCCGTGTCACCTTTTTCATCCATACCTCAACTGCTGGACCACGCCAAGCTGAAATGGTTCAGAGCTCACTCCCAAAAATGCTCGCAGCATTTCCATGTAGAAAAAGATTTAGTTGATCCAATTATTGAGGCAAAAGTTCTGGACCCAACTCAGAATCAGAATGAATTTGAAGTAGAGACCATAATCAAGTTTATAGACCAAGACAAGGAGAAATATTTTCCCTCTGAATGTCTGCCGCCAGTTTCATATCTTGGACGTGGTTCTTACTTCTTCGATGATTTGCTAGAGACTGCGGACAACGCGAGGCAAGGCCTACACATGCTGAGTCACGTCACGCGGACCTTTAGAGTCACGCTCCCTCAAGTCCATACCAAGGTTACTTTTTACCATTTACTTCATGAAATGGTATTAAATTCGGTTGTGTAATACTGATTCAGTAAAAAAGTTTCGGTGTATCTTTATTTGGTGAAACGAATAAAAAATTTATAAATATATTGTTTATACATTGTTTGACAGATTAATGATTTTACTTGACTTTGCGGCGAAGAAAATCTGATCTTTACCATTTCTTGCACGGCATTTATCATTATATTTTATGCACAGGCAGTGCATGACACATCCCGAGCCTTGGGTTTGCACGCTCATTTTGCACTGTACAGCAACACGGGAGTCGTGCACCGATCACGAGACCTCTACAACCTGTACCCCAGTGATGAGGCTTACCTCGCTCACTACAGGTAAACATAATTATGAACATACAATACCTGTTCGAAAGAAGTGTTTATGTAGACTGTAAATTAACTGTAGGTAAAAGTTACTGTTATTCAGTCTGTTTAATTCACATGCAATCGATTCACAAGCAAAATTAATGAAGCTATGGCAGGTATAGACTTGCCATAGCTTACATAGCTTACAGTTCTTGAAATGTATAGCTGTTACACTTCATGAAAAACCCTTCATCATGGTCATCATGCCCTGTTTGCATAGTTATGTTTAGGTTAGACTGAACTGATTCCCTATTTATTACTTCACTGAAATGCTAATAATTCCATGAAGTAACTGTATACCATCTCTATTTTCAGGGCGAAGTGTCAGGGTGAAAGTCAGCTAGAATGTGAAACAAAATTTAGACCGCTGCTTGTTCGCGACGAGCGGATGTGGCTGCACAAAACTCAAATTTCGAGAAAATCGAGTGAAACAATTAGGATTTTGGGGCTTCAACCTTGATTGCAATTTTTAAATGTAATTATTAATCATTTGGCTATTTTCTAACAGTCAAGAGAAAATTGCTGGTAATTAATATTATATTTTAATTAGTAGAATGATTAAAACTCATGGAATACGTATAATATTATATCATTAATTTAGAATTAAAAATGGCAAGTTTGATCAATCTGGGCGTCATTAATTGACTAGACACGAAGTTATTCGTCACTATAATTTACAAATAAAGTGAATTTTATTTTCTCATGGAAGGAGCGGCTTAAAATTTTTTCTTCCCGAGAAGAACTTCTTGTCATTTATTTTAAGGAGAAACGAACAAATTCGCGTTACGGCAAGGGAAAAGCTCCTAGGGAGGCTATGTTTAGATAAATTATCTGCATATAAATTATTCAAGGACCACACCGGATATTGGAAGGATATTGTCTACTGAAGAAACGTCTGCCAGAAAATAAATTGTCAGCTCCGTCGGTCTTAAAGCGAGAGCTGCAAAATACAGGATTTGAACGCAACAAAAAGGAACTTTGCATATGACTTGCTTGTCCCGCTCACTGCTGGAAAGAAATATTACTTTCGGTACTTTTATAAATAATAATTTCTTCTAATTCTCAGCTCCGTCCACTTTATTGAAGATAACAGCTCTGATATCGTAGCAGTATTATCGTCGGAACTCTCTGGATGATTAGTTTGCAGTTGTTGCCTTATTTAAAATCGTGAAGAATTATGTTGTTTAACTCTTATTAAATACTTTCAAAATCCTTTCAGGAGTCAATTATCTCAAAATAATAAATATTATTTTTGATAAGGATGTATGTGCTCATTGTCACTTTCACGTGCATATTTTACGTGAAAATATTGTGACGCGCTTGAATACTTCATCATTATGCTGAAGTTTTGGTGTCAGCATGAAAAAGATATACAGCGTACTTTTTACGCTGCTGTAAAATTATGTTTCACCGAAAAATTGCATGGTATCTATTTCTTTACCGAGCGAAAATCATTGCCTTCATATAGCACGACACATCTTGTCTCGTCAACGATACAATATCTACGCGTCATGTAATTCATAGCCCCCGGCCGCTTAGCCGCACCTCTTTTCGCTGGCAAAAAGTGTCCGTCGGACGGCAATTTCGGCATCTAAAAATGAGCTGTGAAATATTGGTCACGTAAATACGAAGAGAACACCTGTTGGTGACGCAGTGCTGCGGGTATAAGTACAGGCCAAATTATTCCCGGATGTATAAGGTATCGAGTAGCTTCAGAAAGCACCACAGTGAAATTTTTGTTCTGGTTATTTTAATTTCATCGGTAAAAAATTTCTTTTAGAAATAGAGTACATTGGTTTCTAGTTCCTAATTTAAGTGTTGGGACTCATAACTTTCTTTGCCTTAATTCAATGTTTGGCAAATGAAATTTATTATTTTCAGATATTTACTCTCAACGAATATTTTTCGAGACTTAAAATTAATCCTATACTCAAATCAAAATAACGGTTTTTTTATTCACACCGTTAAAGATTGCACGTTAAGTAAAAGTTATTTGTTGACCTGAACTGTTGATAAAGTAAAGCATAGTGTCTTTGCTCACTCGAGTTTGTGTTGCAAAGTTCAGAACTTTTCATGGTAAGAGAATGTTGCCAATTTCATTCCTACTGTCGACTGTAGTTCTGTCTTTCCATGCATCGGGGACTTTTTCGGCGGCGACGAAGGTGAGCGATATTTTCATGCACCATTAAGAAAATGTTTTAATTTGCACTCGAATTGTGAATTGAATTGGCTATGTAGATTTAATTTTGAAATTCATGATAAGAGAAAACCTTGTTGATAAACTACTATTAAACATCGTTATTATACGTCTCGTGGTGTTTTAAATCCTTCCGTCATATGAGTTCACGAAAGAACGAAAAACATTTCGCATAAAAAGAACATATGTCGAGCTGCAGCTGGGGTTGGCGATGACGTCGTTTGCAAGTAAGCTAGTGAAAGCTAACTAGCAATTGCCGGGCCAAACTCATGAAAACGAGCGGCTAGAATGGCTTCTTTTATGCTGCAAATGCCTCGTACCAGCATAGCCTATTCCTCAGACGAGAATTGAGTAACTAACTACATCAAATTAATAAACAAATAAAATTGAAGTCCAGGCTTCTGTATAAAAGCCTGTTGATGTTAGGAAATTTACTTCTCGAGAAGTACTTTAGAACTTAACTTGATTTATTACAATTGCTAACTAAATTTGTTTCAATGAAATATTTCGACAATCAATACATTAACTGTCATTAATATAATAATAAATAATTAAATCTTAATATTCTCGGCAATGTTCAACATTGAAACATTAAAAACAGATGAAAATGAGTAACTCACATTTGATATTTGAAGTAGTCTCATTTCCCAACGCGACTAAAACCCGTTTCTCCAAGACAATATTCGCGTATTCTGTGACCAAAATACGAAGCTATATTGAGACCGTTCGACACCCAACACTGTACGTGCGGAGAGGCCAACGTTCCTGTAGTTTTAGAAACCACCATTATGCAAAGCGTAGCCCCACTGGCCGAGCTCAACTGGTTCAATGGCACCAAAAACAGTCTTCTCAAAAAATAATGACCGCCTTTGCCTCCCTTTTTGATATTCCGGAAGCAGACCTCTCTGATTCTACACCAAAGCTTCAAAATAGAAAGCGAACAAAAGGCTGAGCCCAGGCCACTTTGACCATCAAAAAGAAAGTCTCATCCTGCCGCCCGACAGTGGCTGACAACAAACACTGAAAAAATTGTATACAAAGAGGCTTTTCCAAGATTTTTTTTCAGATCAAAAATACTATTATATTATACAAATCTAGAAATGAACGAATAGTGAATTCCTTTATGGCCGAATTCATTGTTCTGGCCTGCTGAGCTGTGATCGAAACAGCGCGTAAGTCCGGACGTTAGAACGGACTTCATTCTTCGGTCAAGTCGGAGAAGGATACCTTGAATTTGAGCAAGATTACGAGACATGAATTCCAAATGACTTGTAGTTTCAAGCGGCCCTGAATCACTGGTTTTCGAATATCTTATATTTTCATTTGTACAAAAATACAGCTCTGTTTTATTGATGATTGTAGTTGATTGAACAAAATTTTAAGGCCTGATTTTTTTATAATATTAAATTAAGTATAAAAGATGTTTACTACTACTAAAATTTGTGTTATTCGACAGAAACCTTTCTTTTTTGCAAGCTTTATTTTAAACTGAAGCCTTTCTTTTAATGCCAAAATGTAAAGCAATATGTATAAATCGTCCTGCCAATAAAAATTAATTTGCTTATTTCCTCATTCAAGAACAAGGCTCCTGCCACAGCTGACGACTCGCTGACTCTCAGTAATGCTTCGACGAATCCACATGCAGAGGACGATAAGAAAACGCACAATCAGATTATTTCGGCAATTCAAAATCAAAATGAATTGATTTTCCCTCCCGATGCTTCTCACGGTCCTGCGGCAAGTTTCAATGAAGGAATCATTTCAACCTCCAATACATCAGCTACCGATGGTACTGAAAATATTCATGATACCAGTCTAGACATTTTAAACGTAAATAATACCAACTTTAATTCTATCTCTTCTCTCAATAGTAATAATTCTTCTTCTATGAGCACTAATTTTTCTCCTAATGTAGAGAGCTCTTTGGATGATAGTGCTAATTCTACTTCATCAAGCACCGAGTTCTACACATTTGAAACCAACCCAACAACTTCTAACTTTAATTCTAAACTCCCGAACACCGAACCCTCGACATTGGATTCAAGTTATAACATCTCAACAACTGGCTTTGCCATGGGAGTTCCTGGAAATGCAGAGATGTCTGAGCACTCACCGAATGCCTTCACTACTCAGCACTCACCCAATTCCTTCACTACTGAACGTTACCCTAGCGAATCTGAAGCTAACACGGATGCGGTTGGGACGCCGTCTTCCGAAGCGAATGATCAAAGTATTCCACACGAGCAGCGGCCGCTCATACCATACGTTGGTTACTCTGATGCGAATGAACGGTGCAAAATCTACGATCTTCACAACTTTTCGCAACCAAATAATGGTGATTCTATCAATTAAAACGATTATTTTTCAAGAAAAATTTGTTTTAATCGATATACTCGACCACTGGGATGAGTTATACCAGATAAATAATACTTCTAATTTATTTAATTTGAAAATCACATATGAAATAAAAATGGAAGCTAATTTTGCTTTACAATAGTATCACATTTGAGTATAGAACATCTAATTTTGATCGTAACTATTAATACAATCGCTGTATATTCATCAGACAAGGAGACGGCGGAAGAGTACCAGCAAACCCCACCGGCAACCACGATCCTGAACATACGTCGGGCCTTCAGGTGCGTAGTTTATCTGCTCCTTGCACTAGTTGGCGCTAACTTCGTTAAGGGGACCGTCTAACCTAAAATTTTCAATTTAGGCGTTTTCCACTTTTTGGGCTCATCTTAAAGCTCACTTTTCAACGCATTCAACGGTACCAGAATCATCCCTGTGCGTCTAAAAATGATTTCGTGACAGCTTCCCAAAGAAGGGCAGTTTTTAGGCCCTTTAACTATTACCTATGGAACTAATTAGAGGGCTGGACAAACTAAAAAGGAACGCCTGACGTAAAGCGGCCAATCATGGCATTATCCGGTGCATATACTCATGTTAAAGCTTACTTTCTGACGATTCTATTGGTAGCAAAATCATCNTTGCACTAGTTGGCGTTAACCTCGTTAAATTTCTCTGCACTAGTTGGCGTTAGCCTCGTTAAATTTCCTTGCACTAGTTGGCGCTAACTTTGTTAAATTCCCTGCACTAGTTGACGCAAACTTCGTTAAATTTCCTTGCACTAGTTGGCGCTAACTTTGTTAAATTCCCTGCACTAGTTGGCGTTAACCTCGTTAAATTTCCTTGCACTAGTTGGCGCTAACTTTGTTAAATTCCCTGCACTAGTTGGCGTTAACTGCGTTAAATTTCTTTGCACTAGTTGGCGCTAACTTCGTTGAATTTCTTTGCACTATTTGGCGCTAATTTCGTTACATTTCCTTGCACTAGTTGGCGTTAACCTCGTTAAATTTACTCTCACTAGTTGGCGTTAATCTCATTAACTTTCACTGCTCTAGTTGGCGTTAACCTCGTTAAAGTTCCTTGCACTAGTTGGCTTAGCCTTGTTAAATTTGCCTAAATGCACCACTTAGTTTAATTCTGATAACTGTAATTTAATAAAATGTTCAGAACCTATATATCATTACTAATTGATAATAACCGACGTACGTAGAAAAATTCTATTCAACAGTTACAAATCTTCTAACCGTACAGATTCAATGAGTAACATCGTGTCTATTCATATAAAATGAATTACTTCCTCTTTGTTTTATGATACAAGATCTACGTACGAAAAATGAAGGTAAAAGATATTTTCACATATTGATGCTTGTTTACATTAGTTTCTTCTTACCAGTGAAAGAATTGAGCATCATATGATACGCAAAATATTATTGAAATAAGACTGATCTTTCTGAGTGTTTCATTCTAAATTGAAAGCAAAATATCTGACCTTGAGTGAAATCTATGTCTGTAATATTATAATATATAATTTCATTATATTATATTATATTGCAGAGGGCTTGTTGTAAATTGTATTTTACTGTCGGAATATAAGGCTTCTATTAAATATATATTGTAAATTTGTAATTGATTAGAATTAGTATTGTAAGAATGTTTTAGAGAAAGTTGAGAATCGAGAATAGTGATTGCGGATTAGGAACGAGCCGTAGGAACGTGGACTTGATGAGGAAGACATCGTCACGTGTTGTGGAACGTAGCTGTTCCAACGAAGACTGTTAATTACCTGTGTGCCACGTGAACATGTGCTACGTATCCCAGTTTATGCAGAAAGTCTGTAACGATGATTGATGTTCAATAAAGTATTTTTAATGATTGTTGGTTTTATCACCTGGCACCAGAACCTGCCACTTTACGCACGACAATATTATATTATATTATATTATATTATATTATATTATATTATATTATATTATTATATTATTTTATATTATATTATATTATATTATATCATATTATATATTATATGAGTCTACAATATTATGCTCAGACATCCCTTGGTGGAGTTGACGCCTGGCGGAGGTACGAGCATCAGGTATCCTTCAGGCGAGAAGCTGGACACTCGGCCGCCTGAGTGCGTGCAGGCGAACCTAGCACGGCAGGAAGGTAAGGAGCAACAGGCAGGTATTGTTGCCACTGAATAATTGGAATTATTAGTATTTTTTAAGGAAAGAAGTTTTGTGAGGAATTCAGCATAGGAGAATAAATTTACGCACGAAGATTAAGTTGTAGTTTCGAACTTAGAAACTAATTTTTCATTTGATCGACTTGCAGTATACTGGATGAACCCATTAAACAACTTTCCACGCTTGATTAATTAATTAATCACATAGTTTGGCCCGATAATTTCACGACAAAATGATAGTAATAGACAAATAATTATCTTATCAGCAAAAAATAAAAAGTAAATATTTCAACAATTTATTCTATCTGCTATTTATAAGTAAACTTTACCGGCATGGGGCGATTTAATTCGTAATTAATGGCGTCGTTTGCCCTCGAGGCGCGGACCCGTGGGACGACCTCTCAGGCTGCGGAGGCTCCTTCTCAGGCGTGCGCGGCGTGCTCACGTCGCCAGGATACCCGTACAAATATCCCAGCGATGTCACCTGCACTTATGATATTAGGGTCAGCAATAAGACCGGTATACCTGTATAAAAACGATCACTCTTCTTAAATAAATGTTCAGGTTTATTGTTAGCTTGATAGATGTATAAAAAGGATAAACATTCTTAAAGAAATGTGTAGAAATATTGTTATTTTGAGAGATATGTTTGCATTTCATATCGACCGCAATAAGCCCCTTGTTTCTGTATGAAAAAGATCGTCCTTTTAAGAGAAATGATCGTGCTTTCTTTTAATTAAGAAAAACTTTCCATATTTTTAACGATCGGATAACACTCGTGTTCCTGAGCGAAATTAATGGGCGATAAAACGAAATTTTTCGACGAATATTTAGCTTACTTTTTAACAACCGAATAGAGTTATTGTATTGAATTGCAATCAATAAAAACTCCCAGATACTCTACTCTAACGATGGTTACTAAATGAAAAATTGGAGTAGAAATTTCATATAATGCATTAATGTGACAATTTTATTGCAAGGAAACTGCTGCTTAATGAATGAGGAACAATTTCACTTGTAATGAAACGACTGGTAATAAAAGTTGGTCAAAACGCAAATTACGTTAATTTGCGAATCAAGATTCGATATGTTTGTTAGACTTTCACTGAGCTGGAGCAATAATAACATACAAAAAAAATATTTTATTGTATCTTTTCATTCTTCTGTAAATAATTTTAATTCTAAATGTCAAAGGTATAATAAATAAGTATAATGATAAAATCTTTGTTCAGGTTGAAGCAGGAGTGCAAATTTCGATCGAGTGCAGCGACTTCTCCCTCCAGCCTGGATACGACGCCTGCGAGAACGACTTCCTCGCTTTGGTCGTCACAGGAAACGCTACTGTTAGGTTAGTACTAAAAAATAATTGGGAATTGTTAGGTTCGTACTAAAAAATAATTGGGAATTGTTAGGTTCGTACTAAAAAATAATTAGGAATTGTTAGGTTCGTACTAAATAAAAATATACGTTTAAAAATTACTTTTTAAAGACAACACTTCCAAAGAATCCAGTGTTTCCAATCTTAAAGATGTACCATGAATTTCTCATTTAATTTTTGAATATTAAAAAAATTAATTTGTCAAGTTTTTAATATATAATTTTTTTATTACATAAATTTTTTTTTCAAAATTATTTATTCTATTAATTGATTCATGCATTGCCTCTGACTTCACACAAGTGTGCAAAATTTCAGATCAATCAGACAGGTAAAAGTGTGTCAAATATCAGTTATAAGATTTGGAGCTGACAAAATTATTTTTTCAATTTTTTTAATATTGAAAAAAAAAAAATTCTACTTCTCAAAATCATTTATTTGACATTTGATTCATGCATTGTCTCCAACTTTAAACAAGTATACAAAATTTTAGATCAATAGGATAAGTAGAAGTGTGCTAAATTTTGATTACAAGATTTGTAGCAGACAGACAAACAAGAAGTGAAGTTAAAGAGAAGTGTTGTAAAAATAATTAGGAATTGTTAGGTTCGTACTAAAAAATAATTGGGAATTGTTAGGTTCGTACTGAAGCATAATAAGAAAGTGTTAGGTTCGTATTGAAGAATAGTTAGAAACTGTTAGGTTCGTATTGAAATAAAATTTGAAACTGTTTAGTTTGTATTGAAGTATAATTAGGAACTGTTAGGTTCGTATTGAAGAATAATTACGTATACTCCGTTGCATAATATCATGTTAAGAGCATAATAGTTAATTGTTAAGATCATGCATCAAAGAATTAATCAAGCTTGAACCTCTCTTCAAAGGAGTCGAATAAGTATTGGGCGTCTTGGAACATTTCAAATTTATGAGTTACAACTTTAATAAGACATTTCATAATATAATTTCAACATAATAACATTTGTAAAAAAATAGCGACAGTAATCTGGTGACAATTGCACTGATATAATAGCCCATAGGTACATTTTTTTAACACTCAACTATAGAGGGAACACCGATCAGATAACGCACCAAAATTCCCAGTTCAACCTAAAATCACCTGAAGCACAATAATATTCAATAGAGTTTTGCTTCAGAAAGTTATTTAATTTCTGTTACCAGGTACTGTGGTGACTTGAAGCCGTCCATTACACTGAATGGTACTGAAGTACGCTTAGTATTCCGAAGTAATGGCAATTACCAATACCGTGGCTTCCTCTGTCGGTACACTGCACTGGATGAGCGAGGATACGGTGAGTAACGTGCACGTTATCGGCTGCTAAGAAGACGAAATTAAGATATTCGACGCGTTCATTCTTTCCATAGATTAATTCTAAATAAAGTTTTGTTTTCAAAAATTTAATAAAATTCTCAATTACAGTGGCAGATAACATTTTTTAAGTAAGTAATGAAACAATGAACTTCCAACTTAAAACTTGAAAATCGCATTTCCTTTTTGAATTGTGTACCTTGTACCACACTTAAACTCAATTTACAAACCGGGAAAAATGCAAGAAAATTTATCATATTTTGATTAAAAAAGTTTCGTCAAGTTTCATCATCATTTTACAATTCAATGATACAAGTATAATCGAACAAAGAACTAAATAAAATTAATAGGATGAAAATATATATGATAAATATAGGTGAAGTAGCGCAAAAAAAAGCAAAATATTCAGGCGAGTAGGAACTAAAAGCGCCATTCAGGCACGATTTCCGTTTAAAAATAAGCAAAGTTTTCATAATCCTAAAATCTAAGGCATCGGAGGTAAAAGTTAGCTAGTATATTAAAAATAGCCTTTGGATGCAAGCACGCCGCAATGTTAGGCATGAATGCACATAACTGATTGAAGAAGATAGGCAAGTAGAGTTCAAGAACGATAACTCCTTCAACGGTGTTTTGTTAAACTTCTTAATTTGTGATAACACAGAGTTCTTCGGAGATAAATTTACTGAAAATTGCATAGATTGAGAGACGGAACAAATTCGTTATCCAGGGTAGTGATGTTTAAATTCATTGCAATATAAAATGAAAGTTGGAAAAGCTAACGGAATGAAAGTGATTTACAAACCAGGGAAATTCGTGAGGAAATTTAAAACCTGAACGCGACCGTTTCTCTGCAATAAAGAATTGAAAAATTATTACTGGCTTCCATCTTAATGGTTAATTCGATCAACGATTGTTTTAAGTTATGATAATGAAGAAAAATGCCTTGGGGGATTAGAACTGAGGATTGCGTGAGGATTAGAGCTTATCATTAACAACTTTTCATTTCAAATATACTTAATTTTCCTGTTTTTTTTTGTATTCACTTCTTGGTTAATTGGCGATCTAAGCAAAAAAATTATATAAAAACTACATTTTCCCTCAATCTAACCCGTTAGTTGCTGTCATTGTAGCTTCTTGTCTTCATTGCGCAGGAGTCGGCGGATGGAGTCAGGACAACTCGACGGAAAATTCACACCTCTCTTCTTTGTGCTCGGATGGAAACCGGTAATGGTTTTCTTTAAATATTTTTTAATATTCTTATGTATGCGAGCATATAAAAACATTGAATTAAATTAGTACGTTTTCACGATTAGTTATTAAATTCATTTGATAATGATTCATTTGACGGCATTTGCAAGTCAACACACTAATAATATTGCCTAATTTTGATTATTTTTACACATTTAAATATTAATGCATTGAAAACCAGATGTATACACGTAAATAAAAAAATTAAAGTGAATTAGTAAACAAGTTTATAAAATAATATAATATGTTTTATTCTCATGAAGGGGTGGGGGGTGGTCTGGTAAATGTGGGACTCAGCCGACAAGGGAACACGAAGCGTCGCGCATCGTTGGAGGGGAGCCGGTGCATGCAAACGATTTCCCGTGGATGGTGAGAAACTACTGAAGGATTTTCTTCCCTTAACATAACCCTTGTCATCTGCAGTGAAAAGATAGTTGAAATAATATTATTTGTTTCGAGACAACTTGACACAATGCTGAACTACTATCACCGGCTTCGAAGACGCCAGGTTTTATTTGAATCTGCTTTCATTCCAATTGTTCTCAAAATGGTTGTTATATTCTTAGACGCTTTGTTATTATTTCTCTATCCAACTTCCGCAATATTCAGAGTACAGGTGGAAAATTTTAGTGTTTTTTATTGGGGTATATTCCCTCAGATTACGGCATTCATGCGCAGATTGTGAATCACTTCATTCAATCGACATTTGTTTTCCTCTCGATCTACTATTTCATCTCTGTAGGCTGTAATATTTTTGAAAAGGCTTAAAAGTGTTCATAGTGCTACTTATTAATTGCAGATTACAACTTTACGATATAAGGCAGTGATATAATAATGAGAGTTTTAAATTTTTTATCGTTGACGCAATCGTTATCAACATTTTACAAAGAAAGCAATATGATAATAGGCCATACCATATCAGTTATTGATCTAGACATTGTACCTAGAGGTCACTTCATTCTATTTATGGGGTATAAATATTTTATTTAGAGCTTACAGCATGTTATCAACAGGTCTAAACAATTCAGTTAAAGCCAGCAAAAATCAACATGTCTTTGCATTTTAATAAGAGCCAGCAACATGTATTCAACAGGTCTAAATTTTATTTATACTCAGCAACATATTATCAACAGGTCTGAACATTTTAATAAGAGCATGCAATATGTAATCAACAGGACTAAATATTTTATTAATAGCCAGCAACATGTAATCAAAATTTGTAAATTTTATTTACAGCCAGTGACATGTAATCAACATGTTAACATTTCATTTAGAACCAGCAAAATATTATGAACATTTAGATTTTAACATATTATTTAGACTCAGCAACATGTAATCAACAGGTCTAAACAATATATTTATACCCAGCAACATGTAATCAACAGGTCTGAACAATATATTTATACCCAGCAACATGTAATCAACAGGTCTAAACAATACATTTATACCCAGCAACATGTAATCAACAGGTCTAAACAATACATTTAGAGCCAGCAACATGTTATCAACAGGTCTGAACATTCCATGTACAGGTCGCAATACTAAAGAAGTGCGGGCATGACGAGGCGCATTATTGTCACGTGTGTGGAGGTACTGTCATCCACCATCGCTGGGTGCTCACCAGTGCACACTGCATCGCCAGGTACTCGAATGACCAGAATCCATGGTAACGAAATTCTGCAAAATGTTTACATGTTTTGTCAAATTCTTCAATGAAAGGCAACGGATTTGCATAAAAAATTAATGCTTCTAATCCCAAGTAATTTACGTTAGTATACACAGTATGATTGAAAACATAAACTCAGTTTTTCTTGTTCCATCCAGCTTTCCCTCTGGATTTTCTGGCGCGTACCTCTGTGAAGTTTTTTTAGATGTCGCAAATGGTGACATCTAATGATTCACCCTCAAAGTGAAGCAGTAACTTTTATTTCTCTCAGCTTTCGAGTGGTGCCTTGTTTTTCGACTTTATTTTTGTGTCCAAAGTATTTTTGAGCTTCGAGTGAGAGGACTTATCTAGAAAATGACGTATTTTTATTCTTGTGCCTTTGTTTAACACCATTCTTTTAATTTGCTTGAATTCGCTTTGGAGGTCCTTTTAATATCAAATAGTCTACTAATTATTACAATCAGCGTTTCGCTTGTGCTTGAAAAGTTGTTAGTGCACATATTTCGACCTTCGCGCGATAATTATATCGATATTTGAAGAGACTCGATATTTATTGACATTACAACTATTGCAAAGGAACTATTCATGTCGCTTGATATCTTTTACATAGACCATTTTACTTTAGAGTTGAAAAGGCTACATTAAAATCAACTCTGCAAAAACTTCATATAGAATAACTATAAAATCTTCTTCAAGCTGATGATAATCTAAATAAAGAAGTCATTAGCATTGCAGTGGCGAAGCTGGGAGTGCTGCTGGGTGACCACAACCTCTACACCCTGACACCCTCCCAGAAATTCTTCCGCGTCCAGCAAGCCATCATCCACCCTCGGTTCAACACGCCCTCTCCCCTCAACAATGACATTGCCCTCATAATGCTGCCGCAAACTATCTTCTTCTCAAGTTAATCTAAGCTAAATTACGACATGTCTAATAAAATTTTACAATTGGTCAGTAATATTGCATATTTCACAGTGCCGATCATATCTACATTCCCGGGTTTTTAATATTTCTCGGGTCTCTTGTAAAAATGAGACCGGGGAACTACAACAGATTGATCGTAATCCTTCGAAAAAACGAAAAGAATAGTAATAGTCACCATAGTAATTATAAGTTGTTGTTTACCATTGTATTGAAATAGTGAGTAATTATTTTCTGTTGATTTCACTTTCACCAGGATACATCGCGCCCGTGTGCCTACCTGACCCTGACACAGCTCGCTTCGTGGCCTCCCTGCCTGACATGGAAGACGTGCAGCAACCCGGCACAACTAAACGTGAGGCACACACCAACAAATGTCTATTGACAATGAATCCATTATCAAAAGTTTATACATGTTTCTATGTATCACCATTTAATTTATAAAAAAATGTATCTTACATGATGATTTTTAAATTTTTTATTTATTATGGAATTCTGTTAATTTGATTCTGATCATCATATTATTGTATTTTAATCGACAAAATGATAATTATTAGTAGAAAGTCGTCAATTATGACATAAATGGAGCTTTTGGCTCTCGACAAGGACTGATTGTTTGAACTTTTCAATTAGAGATATCGTTGCCAAACTTTAAACCGCAATAGTCGAGGAAGAAGAAAATAGGTCCAAATTTAAAAGGAAACGCAAATAATTATTCGTAAAATCTCCATGTCATCAAGATTCCTCGTAAAATAGTTCGCAATAAATTGTATCAATTCAGGATTATGTTCTCGCATGAATGTATTCCACTGCTCCACAATTCCAATCTTTTCTCATATACTGGGCACCTCAATCAAAGTAGATATATTTTATAGAGGGATTTCCAATGCACGACTTCGCAACGACTCATTACCCAGCATTAATCATTGGATTTGTTTTGTGAGCCATTGAAAGAAAGTCGTTAAATAACAGACAAACAAAGGACGGTCGACTATGATTCTTGACCACCTATGATTTTCAATTAGGATTATCAGCGATGAAGCTCGTTCCAATAATCCTCGATTTCCACGCCATTTGTCAGAAGCTCCTAAATTTTTAAAGCCTTTTCGATCTTTGCATCCGGGACTCGTTAGTCAAATACAATCTATAGTTTTTTTTGTCTTGCCCTTCCAAATCTTCGCTGGGATCCGACGGCAGTATCCTGGTGATAAAAATAATGGCTGTGTTTATGCGCTCATGTCGATGCGCGCGTTTTATTGTTTTCGATTTTGACGGCCTTACTAGGAAGCTTTTTACCATCGACGGAGTTTGCTTAACATTGTAAACTCTGATATTTAGCATCGATGATTCAAAGCTAACTTTCCTGAAATACGTGCTTAATGGTATCGTCTTTATTCTGTGAAATAGAATATCTCGAAATAATTCCGTAGGAAAAGTAACTTGTCATTTAAATATTTCTTTGTTTTTAAAAAGTTTTTTTCGTGGAAGAAAATAAGTTTCATGAATTATATTGGTCTAATGATTATGTTATAGTTAACATACCCAAAATTATATTAGTATAAGTTTTTTATAGTATAAATAGCGTGGAGCATCCAGTACTCTTATTATGGATGTCTCAGTTCCATGCTCTCCTCGGAGATAATAAGTTTGACGAGTTACACTGAATTTATACTACGTCATACCTTATTTCTTTTCCATAAACTTACATTAAAAAATTACCCATGAAATTAAACGGTACGACTTTCTCAAAGCTCAAGTAATGTAGAGCCTCCTATACACTTATCACAGCTGGTTATGTCAGGTTGAATCAGCGTTGAAACAACAAAATTTACGACGTGAAATAAAGTTGAATATTAGTTTAGAATGAAAATTGAAGCAACGTCATTTTTTAACGTCTTTCATTTCGACGTTGTTTCAACGTTAAAATCGCGTTGACATCTGACGGTAAGATCGCGTATACATATGTGCGAATCTAAAGTCAGAATTTTACGCAATTTCAACGTTGAAACAACGTCGAAATATACGACGTTGAAAAAGTGACGTTGCTTTGTTCTAAACTAATATTCAACGTTATTTCAACGTCGCGAGTTTTTTTGTTTCAGCGTTGTTTCAACCTGGCATTGCCCGCTGGGTTACTCTTTACGTTACAGTTCCGTACTGCAGACACCTACTCTTTACAGTACAGTTCCATACTACAGACACCTACTCTTTACAGTACAGTTCCGTACTACAGACACCAACTCTTTACAGTACAGTTCCGTACTACAGACACCTACTCTTTACAGTACAGTTCCGTACTACAGACACCTACTCTTTATATTACAGTTCCGTACTACAGACACCTACTCTTTACAGTACAGTTCCGTCCTACAGACACCTACTCTTTACATTACAGTTCCGTACTACAGCACGCAAGTTCCGCTAGCAAATCCAGTGCTGCACCCGCTGCTCATCCATCGCAACGTGTCTGTCTTTGGCTGGGGCACAACCGATGACGGTAAGTGTAAGATATAATATAGACCCCTATCAGGTATTCATAAAAATTCTTAAAGTAAAATTGTACACAAGGTTTAAAATATTGTACTAAATTAAAATCCTGGATGTTTAATTAGGTTTCTAATGAAACAAATATATCATTCTCTCCCAATCACTAGATTATTTCAATATTTTATGATTTTATTTTAATAGTGGAGGAATCTATAAGATGCTCATTTCTCAAGACTCGTCTTTTGCTATATTCGCTTTAAACCTTCAACATTGCCGTTATGAAGTTGACGTCGTTGTTGGTATTTCTTAGGAAATTATAAGACGAAGGCTCTACCAAGTTTATTTTATACGCACGTTATGTAGCTAATTTAGAAACGAGATTAAGGAACACCATTACAAGGATTTCATTTCTTCTCTCCCAAATTCGATTTGAATTTATCTTAAAATGGGACTTATTTTGGAACCTGTGACAAAATGAAGGGCCCACTTCATACAACTTAAATGCCTTCTGACATTGAGTCCTACATCGTATTATAGGATGACGTTCCCATCTGTTAAAAAAATCTGGAGCGGACCATCACGGACGATGAGGTTGTCGTAAAGATCTATCTTTATGACGAGCTGCAATTCCAATAGAAATCTTTCCAAGTGAAATCCCTTTCAAGAGCCCGCACTTCAACTTCCAAAATTGAATCTTGTTCGCTGCTCCTTATGTGTTGTGAATGTCAAGCGATCTGAGTGAAGAGAAACTCGAAAGGCTTTATGAACAACAAAAGAACTGCGAGGTTTATTGCCATTGTGAATTTCTAGCTGAATTTAGGAAAGAAATTTTTATTAGCTAAATCAAAAAAGAAATCTTGCAGATAGTTTTCCCAGACTTTTCGTTGTTCTTCCATAATTTTAGGGAATATATATACAACAAATTATTTGTTCTTCCCAACCTGAAGTGATATTTACAAGACAGCGATACCATAAGTTATGAGATGAATTTTCGAATTCCCTTAGCCAATTTCAGTACATTTACACCTTAAAAATAAAAATGAGCAGTAAATTTACTAAATTATTTTTCTTTTTCGATTCCATATACCTTGAATTTCCGTAAAGTTATTTTGGAAAATTTCTTAACTATTCATAACTATCTTAACTATTCATAACTAACTTAGCTATTCGTTTCGTTACCTTACACAGACATTCAGCTTTCGTATGAGTGTTCAAGGTTATTTAACGAATAAATGTGATGTTGCAACGAATAAATGTTACACATAACGAAATGAATGCGCAGCTGGAACGCTCGGCGTGGAGCTGCGTGGCGCCACCGTCGAGATCCTCAACAACAAACTCTGTGACTGGTACTTCGGCCTCATGACGGAGTCCATGTTCTGTACCTCGGGCGCCAACGGCAACGGACCATGCAAAGTAATCACTAATACTTGTATGCCTGTCGTAGTGCTCCATCCGAAATAAGTTAGAGCTACCCACCAGCTTTTGGCATGTGTGGCTGTCCGTGGTAATGAGTAAGATTTTTTAGCACGTGTGCTAACTGTAAAATAATATAGCAAGGAGAAGGTTTTAGCCTTCATATTCAAACTGATTTTTTTTCCACAATTTGTCCCGCTAAAGATTCATCCACCATTTAATTTTAAAGTGATTGAAACAGGTTCAAATTAAATACAGATAACTTACCTGCCTAAAGTTCCATTATCTTAACAATTTTTAAAAGCAAATTTGAGAACATATCCTGTAATTTTTCCTGCTTCAGGGCGACAGTGGCTCCCCCGCCCAGCTTCTGATGAGGGACGGCCGATGGGTGCAGGTCGGAGTGCTGTCGTTCGGTGCGGCCGTGGGCTGTGAGACAGGATACCCTTCAGGCAACACCCTCCTGCCTCTGTACGTGTCGTGGATACGCGAGGTCACCGGCGAGGACTTCTCACAGTTTATGTAAACAATTCGCACTTTAATCAAACATTCCATCAATTCTATTCTCACGTGAAATCGAATATCTCCAAAGCTTGTTCAGCGAAGAATTAAAACTATCTGTCATCTCGTGAAAAACTCGTGAAAAAAAACTTTTTTAACTCTTGAACATAGGCGCTCCCGCCCCAGTGGTTCAAGTTCAGAGTACGAAAATTGGAGCAGAGAAGCGCGGGTTTGATCCCAGCTCTGTGCGACAGTTTCTGGCCAGAATCGGCGAGGAGGCCGGGCGGTTAAGCAAATAAATTTTGAAGCAGTAAGTTGCGAGTTCTAACCCGCAACAAGCTGTGAATGTTTTGCGATGTTAAGAATCGGTGATAGGCCTTCGGCCTAATAAACGCTGAAACCGCTTTATTATATTATATTAATGCTTAGAAATCTAAAGTTAATAAATGTACTTCGGAATGAAGTTTGTGTATCGACAAACCTTATGAATATGATGGTCACAGCAGGTTTCCCTCAAACTATACCATTCAACGGTTGTATTAAAAAATAGGTTTTTAGTAAGAAATTTTTTTTTCCATTTACTTGAAAAGCTCGATGCACTAAATGCTCATGGAACCATGCATAAAGATCGGATAACTGAACACTTCCTGATTTTTTCTAGTTTCCGTTGTTCATAACCTTAATCTAGTTAAGCTAATTAACTTGCATACATTGCATGATCATCGTTAGTAATTTTATTTACCTTAATGATCTAAGACTAGGAGAGAATTATTCAAGTGTCTGCATAACCAACCCATCAAATTGGACGCGTAAAATTTCCCAACAATTCTCAATTCAGCTTTCATTAATGGCGCAGGGACCCCGAAAGAATTTCGAAGAAACACTTAGATTCAGATCCGCATTCAGATTTTGATTTTGACTTTACGTCCTTGTCCTCGCCGTATTGGTACCTACGTGAAATCGACACTTTTAGACCCACTTTCGTACTTCCAGCCCTGCTACGAAGATGAAATTTTGGCCCATAATAGAGCCTGATTTTAGATTGACGAATCAAAAGTCGGATCCCCAAAATTCCCCATGGGGAAGACACAAATCCCCAAAAACGAATAATTTTTTCAAAAATTCACCAAAAATCAGCCGTTGCTTGCACGNCAGAGAGAGTAGGCAAGGTTTTAAAATATATGGAAGTGGTCAATTCTTTTGATGTTTTCGGAATTGCGTTTGAGTTTAAATACGATATTGGCAGAGTGAGCTGATGATTGCTTGAGTGCTGTCTAATGTTGCAATTGATTAGATATGAATTGTGACTGTGAGTATTGGAATTCTTTACAGGAGTTGTTTTGGTGGAAGTGTGCTATTTTAATGATGGCTTTTTGAAATTGATTGTTTTTAGAAGTGATAAGATATAGAACTGTGAGTATATATTGTATATGCCTTAATGATGGAGTTGTTTGTGGTGAGTGAATTGGTTATGATGTGAAAAGAGTGCGCTGGTGATTGAATTGACTAGGTGTGTTATTGATGTGATTTATATTATTATATTGAGCTGTTTGTATGCAGGCAATGTTGAAATTATATGTGTGAAAAGGGACTGTTGCGGCATGATTGTCCCTGATGTGCTGGTTTCAGGGACCACAAATTTAAACAGCACTCGCGCCGAGCGATGTTTCGTGCAAGCTATCAGGATCCTAACTTAGAACCATCAGCGGAATTTCGATGGCCGATAATGTGCTATGCGCAGGCCACGTATAGATCTACCTTAATTTTATAATGGGTTAATGCCATGGTGCACGACCATGCAATATGCTATCACCCGGGACTGTTTTGCCACTCGAACGGCCTTGCTTGAAAACACCTCGACTTATTCCTGTTAATTTGGAGGCCTAAGAGCAACATTGCCCGTGAACGGCAGTGAACTTTACTCCGCCTGGGGCATGCATTTGCAGTCTCGAACACGAAATTCTTTCCGATGCGATGACGCTTCGTTTTTCCGGTCTGTCGGCAGCAGCGGGGCCGGCTTAGCTTGCCTGTAGTCACCCAGATCCGCAATGCGAGTTCAAGCCAGCTCAGTGGATTCGAATTATCGTAGCCAGGAAACAGTGGAGCAGAAAAGGTCTTCTCTCTGTGTTGAATTCAATAGCTGTTAGGACCGAATATACTGATGTCTCACAATCAGTATATGAAATTGGTTTCAAATGTACTGCGTTGGTAAATTACAAACTTTATCTCGGTTTGAAAAACTGCAGATTGCTACCGCCGATTATATTGTTAATATATGTCAACCAACATCAAGAATTTGGCAAGAAATTATATGATAAAAAATTATTTTAATTTATATACCGAACTGATGCTAGGAATATCAACATTAGTATTATTTTCTTCGCTTCTCCAATTTAAGAAGCGAAAAACAATTGCAAAGTTAATTATTCTCAATATAAACTTCTCTCCTTGACCTCCTATGGGTCGCTGACCTCTTTTCTACCACGACATTGACCCTCAACCCTAAACTCCAAGAAAAGAGCAATAGTCGCGTCGCAAAGTTTGATCGACGGTGTCGGTGTGTTTGTAATTTAACTTGATACAGTAACCAAACGTCGGAAATTAAATGTTGAATTCGAGCGATCGTGTGAGATGTCAGGCGTCGCTGAAATGAACCAACTTTGCCAGGTAGAAAAATTTTTACGCCGATATTTTTTGCGTCAGGCTGTAACTGTTTTCGTGGCTATTAAAGATTTGTTAACTCAAAGTAACTTCATTAATGTTATTTTTCAGTAACTGTTTATTTCAGCAGACAACGTAGTATGTATCCTTAGTATCCTTAGTATACTTAGTATTTGTTTGGGACATAGCAGTCCCAGGCCACGATGGATCGCCGCCTCTGATTATCGTTCATCCGCCCTCATTTGGGCCACCTGATGCACGATGCTGTTGCTTGCTTCTCGCCGCTTGTAGTGTTGCAAGGGAGGTCGATCTGGGATTGTGCTCAGGAACACGTCTAGTTGTCTCTTGAAGGTCTCCTGAGTGAACTCCCCCTCTCTTAGATCCCTTGGTAGGGCGTTGAACAGCCTTGGTCCTGCCACGGAAAGTGATCCTTCCCGCAGGGATTGAAATCTGACTGCGGATCTGTTACGTAGGGGGGGGGGGATCTTGCACAGTCTCCCACTTCTCTCGTTGTGATATGTCTGAATCCTGAAGGTTTCGCTCCCGAAGTTTGGCACCTCATCTCTCGAAGTGTGGCTTCTCTCCATCGTTGAGACTGTTTACTAAGCTACTTAAACAAGCAGTCCTATAATTTAGAGACCCAACGTCGACGAGAGGAGATGGAAACACAGTTCACCAGATTATTTCTTCTAACTTGTTTCATCTTTCGAACCATGACGATGACGTATGGTCAATAACGTTTTCAAAACATCAATGAATCAGTTCCCAAATGAATTAAAATCGAGTTCAAGACGCCTAATTTAATATGCAATTGGATTTTCTTTAGGCATGGCTGTAAATTTCTGAAAACACCTCGAGCGCTACCGTCTGAACACAGAGCACTTTCTTCCAGTAATCGTGCTCAATAGAAACTATTGTTGTAAGCGAAAGCCGAGGTAACTCATCAAGAGCTTTATTCAACAAGAACGCAACATCCTGGAACAAAATAACACTACTATAAAACAGGATAACGGTAACGTAATAAGAATATATTCATATGTAACGGTCTTGCTCATAACGAAACTGTTTACAGAATACTTACAAGGAGAACAATAGCTCTAGGTCTTGAACGTACAAGAGCCGAGTCAATGCTAACAATGGCCACTAGTTCTAGAGCGAAGTAACTTACTAGTAGGAACTATAGTACGGAATACTAGGTACATGTGGGCGCTACAACAGAAATTTCATGACAATCATCTCGCAGTGGCCGCCAGAATGTGTCGCACTGAAGTCAATAAGAGGCTGTCCAAAGAGCAACCGAATCCAGGATCGAAACAAAGCGTCTGTTGACACCGTCACCGTTGAGCAACATGGCGTTGATCATTACCGACATGGAATGTCAATTAGTTTGAAATTATTTGGTGATTGCATCACTGGTCCGTAGCAGTTAGGTATTTACAGCAATTAGTGTAACTTAGCAGTTTCTGAAATTAGCTTTGAAACGGCCATGGCAAATAGCAGTTAAATTGTCGTAACTATCAGCAGACTAGCAGTTATGACAAATAGAAGTCATATATTCGTAGTAAGGTGCAGTAAAATAGTAATAGAAAGCATAATTCAAGCAAAAATTGTAAGGAGAATTCATATTGCCGTAAAAATTACGAGTCAAACAGCCATAGCAGGTAGCAAGCGAATTGGTTAACGAAGGAACTGCGGAATATCTGTTAAAAATTATTGGTCTGGTAGCCTTATTATTATTATTATTATTATCCTGATATAATTTGAACGAGATTAGCCATTGCAAGTTGTGGCCATTCGCCAGAACAATTAAGATTCTATAGTAGTGATAGCAAAATGGAGCACAGTAGCCATAGCAAGTAGCTTTAAGTTGTCATGACAAGCAGTATTAACAGATAAGATAGGTGAGTATAAAATAGCCACAGTAAGAAGAACTTAATTAAGTGGTCTTAGGAATGAGCAGTCAAGCAGCCATGACAAGTAGCAAATCTGTTACTTATGCCCCAGTAGCAGTCCAGTAGCCATATCAAGTATCAGTCCAGTAGCCATATCAAGTAGCAGGCCAGTAGCCATATCAAGTAGCAGGCCAGTAGCCATATCACGTAGCAGGCCAGTAGCCATACCAAGTATCAAACCAGTAGCCATACCAAGTATCAAACCAGTAGCCACGTCAAATAACAAACCAGTAGCCATATCAAGTAGCAGACAAATAGCCACTTCAAATAACAAACCAGTAAGCGCAGCAGTATAGCAGCAGCCACCACATGCAGCCCAGCTCTCCCCGTCGTGACTTCCACGACATTTAACAGCAGCGTCTCCCAGCAGCGAATCCCGCACCAGCGCCGGCAACTGAGCGGAAATTTGCCGGAGACACAAACTTGTGACGAGCCTCTCCGTGCGCTCTATTTCTGATGCAGTTTATGCGTTCATGCGCCTCATGACATTGAAATCCAGCAACAATAAGCGTATCCAATGTCGTAAGTTAGTTCGTATCTGTATGTTAGTTTTTATATGTCGAATTAAATATTTTCGAATGAGAATTGAATATTTTCGAATGATAATTGAATATTATTACAAGAGAGTTGAATATTTTTGAATGAGAATTGAATATTTTCAAATAAATACAAAGATTGAATAAAGAGAATTGAATATTTTTGGAATTTTTCGATACATGGCACCATTAAAAACAAGCACTGAAGAACTAAGTGGTAGTTATTCAGTGAACAAATTTCATGTTCAGGTGAAGCAGTGGGTTAAAAAATTTTTTAGGTATTATTTGGCTATTAAAATGACGCGTTCAATACATTTAATTCAGCTAACAATATTCCATTCGAAAAATTAACCCTTCCACACGATTGCAGTACCGTCAACTGGGGTGACTTCGAAGTCATCCCTGGTGGCCGAAGTCACCCCAGTTGACGGTAATGTTCTGTAGCTACACCGGCTTCTTGAGACAGTTCCTTTATACCAATACTGTGCAAGACTCGGTAGGTCCTACAGTCTCCGTTAATTAACTTTTTCGCGAAACACATAAATTCTGGGGAGCCGAGAAAGCCAAACGATGTCACTCAAGCCCAGAAGCGGCGATATTTACAAGCCTGCTCCGGAAACCACGACCCGAAGAAACCTTCTGTAGCAGAATACTGAGGAAAACACAAACCAAGAAATCACTTATTAAATTCAACATGGAATTCTAATGCTTATAATGAAAAAAGTAGTGCAACTTAAGAAGTAGATTTACTTCATCGACTTGAATTCGAATGTTTTCATCGCGTAGTAATTTGTTTGCACCGCCTAAAATACATTTGGCCTTTATGCATTCGTCTTCATTAAACCACAGACAAAGTGAGACAATTCTAATGCATGGCCCATCATGTGCAGCCTTCATGCTGATATACAGCCTTGTCAGAGACACGAGCAGCCTTCGTGCTGATATACAGCCTTGTCAGAGACACGAGCAGCCTTCGTGCTGATACATCCTCGTCAGAGACACTAACAGCTTTCGTGCTGATACATCCTCGTCAGAGACACGAGCAGCCTTTGTGCTGATATTCATCCTCGTCAGAGGCATGAGTCGCTTTCATGATGACACATTCTCGTGAGAGCGACATATTTCATCGAAACATATTATACACATCGTATCAGAATCGAAACCAGATTAAAAAATAGTTTAAAGTATATATCTACATCATTTATAACTGTAAAACATTTTGGTTAAGTGGTGCATTGTTCAATCACGTTCAACACGGACGTTTTAATTTTTTTTGTTTCGCAAATGATGATAGAAGCAGATGCAACTAAAAAATTTTAGAGAACTATTGTTTACAAATCGAGGAAACTTTCTCTCCAGAAGTTGGACGATGAATCAACTTCAATTAAATATTCATTCGGCATCATTTGCCTGCTGGGATGCAAAGAAAATATACCGAGTTTCGTTCAAAAATAGTTTATAGCCTTCGCAGATGTTTAGTTGATAAACTTTTTTAGTTCAGTAAATGTTTTCAAGTTCCTGAAGCAAGTCGTACGTTAGCAAAAATATGGTCGGTCATGTCAAGCTTGTCTTCTGCCACAAATGTCGTTTCCGTCAAGCAATCGCCCCGTAAAACTCGTTTCCATAACGACACTGCATGACTCCCAAGCTTAATAACTTGAACGAAATATGGCCTGAAAAAAATATTTTCCTTCCAATCTGATCCAAACAAATTGAAAATTTTTTACGCAATGGGTTTAACTGTAACGTTGAAGAAAATTAATTTATCGACGTTTCGCGAAATTAACCTTTAATTTTCCCAGAAGTTATATGTTTATGACAAGTATTTTTTTCAAGCTTCCGATCCAATTAACGTCAACTGCACTCAGTCTAAAACGTTTGGCGTTCCGATCACATTTTTATACACCGTATTATCGAAATATTCTCATAGATTTTTTGCGCTTTCTAAATCGCTTCTGTGGGCGTTAATGGCACGAACTTGTTTCTGATGAGCTTTATGAGGAAACTCTTTGAAAGCTTGTGGCGATTTTCCCTCTGAAATATGACATTAAATGTTTGGAATTCACTCAAGAAAAAAAGCAGAAAGAACCAAATAAAAAAAAGTAAACGAATTAGAAGTTAAGAAGTAATGAATTTTAGTAAAAGTATGAGGCCTTATTTGACGAATTGAAATTATAATCCAGTCCCAAATGTCTACTTTAAAGTATTAGATTTTGGATAAGTTTACTTAAGATAAGATTTAGATAAGTTTACTTAAATGTGGAATGCACATATGTGAATCGGTTTCTCTCCTTCAATTTTATTCAGTATACATGACAGACAGAGGAACAGTATACATGTGTGTATCCTGTATACGTGACAGACGTTCCTTCATACATAGGAAAACACAAGCATGGATTATTCATGAAATACTCTCAAAGTTTTTGGTAAGTTTTAGCGTATCAGAACTTTTCGAATTCCCAACTATAACTGAAGCTTGTATCATGTGACCATCTTTGTTGGCTTGGCCACAGACTCGATTTCGTTCTCATTTTGAGAGTTGCCATTTATGTTCATATATATTGTCTTCGTTATACTCCCGTGAAGTTTCTTTATACTTCCTTTAAGTTAAAGTAAGTTCTTGCAAGTCTTATAAACATACACATAAATTATTATAATTTAACTAATTTTTCTGCTCTACCATTTCAAGAATGCACCTACTAAATAGAAGTAATTATTGATTTGCCTTAGCAATATCAGAAAGAACCCCCTACCATGTATAATATTTTATTCTTCAAATTACGTCAAATTACGTGTAAACCGACAACGATTTTTGAACTATATATATGGTTATGATTTGACATTATGATTTGAGTCCTTCGTTGATTTTTTTGAAAATAGGTTTCTCATTGATTTGCACATATTATTTTAAAATTAATAATCCTATTTGGTATAGTGAATGACATCCTCATAAATCAGTGATTATGCAACACAGGTTGGATAATCACTATTAAATCCAACACTAATCTGCTAAAACGATCTAATTTTGATGTGATGACAGTATTAAATTGATCATGAATATGAATCATACAGAGCTATCAGAAATACGTATTCATTTCACGAATAAAAAATAAGAATTCGGAGAAAATAGCAGACGATCTGTGCTTCGAGCTTATCCGTCATTTGAGCGTCGCTCGAACAGCATTCGCGCAGCGTCTCCCATTTTTCGGTTGGTCTTCCGGTCGTCTTATATCAAACTTTGTCCATCAAAGTCTTGCTATCAGATGACTTCGAACTGATCTCCAAGCCTCGCTGACCAACGTCAACAAACTTTGCGAGGGTTATACTTACCATTATGCTCACATCATCGTTTGATTTCAACTCATCTTCCTCAGTGGACAGTCTCAACAAACTTATGTGCGTTGAACTAACTTACACGTTCCGATTTAATCGAACATTGAATTGTAAAATATAATGATATTCATATAATTTAGTATAATTATGCTTCTAAGCAATAATCGTATTATTTATAATTTCAATAATAATCTAAATGTGAATGGTAATATTGGCATTTATGCACATTTTTGCTGTAAATCATGTAATCGATCATCAAAGCTTATCGTTGCTTTGCAAGAATCCTTCTATATCTCAATTTCTCGCTCCTCTCTGAGCATTATCCAATGTTTTACTTGAACCCATCTTATTATCCGACGCCATTGCCAACATGACGGGAATGTTATGCTTGTCTCATAAAAGACTGCCGGCCATACAAGCACAACGTCGCCTGCTGGCATCATCTCATCAGGCAACGTAAGTTTTATTCCCGAGCAGGCATTCCTCTCCAACACGAGCGTACTTTTTGGACCTGTAATGAATTTTTGACGAGCTCTTAACCGTCATATATTAAGCTTGTCTTATAAGTGTGCGAGCGTCTTGAGCGAGCCATTATGCCTGAGACTTACCTCTGAAACATTGCTGTACATTGCATGTTTGCTGCGAAAGTGAACGCTTTTCTTGCATCGATCACATAAAGGAACGCTTCTGTTACAGGAATCCCCTGTAGTTCCATTACTTATTTAAAAAACCGTTAAAAAATGATCATTTTCCAAATAAATGACCGTATTGTGTTTATATTAGTTCCCGTAATTAGTATATAAGAGAGGGTATTTCTCCTACAGAGATCTACTTTCACTTCCATTACTTATCACGATTGACTTTTTATGATACATTTTCCCAATAGCGTTCCCAACTTACTACCATTTCTTCAAGCAATTATTGTGACTGGGACTTTTTGACTTTAGTGACTTTATTGTCCTTTCATCGATCTTTCGAGAAATAATCAATTGTGTTTCCCGGTATGAGAAACGAAATACAATTATATTTGATTTACCTACAACTGTACCCCATGCGAACTGAATCTTTTCGTGAACAATTAAGAATACAAAGATAATTATGAACACAGGATGTCACGATCCACTTAATAATTTTCGAGCTTATTAGTTTATTGGATATCATTTATTTAATAATACAATTGAGGTTTTTAGACAATTTCTGTTCTAGCTAATCTCGTAGAAGTTCGTCGAGTTTCAAAGTTATGCGATATTTTGTAAATGCAAGCAAATTGTTCCTTTAATCGGGATTTGCTAGTGAAACGAAGGAACTAAACTAAATTGTCAGGTGATCCTAGTCGTACATTAATGACGTCTTTACAGCTCTATTTCATGCTGCAAAACGTGTCGGACTTTGCAGATGGTCTAAATATTTCAAGTCGATGCAAGAGCTACAACAGATGATGGTTTTGAGCTATGTGATCATTGATCAGATATTTGATACATACGGGTAAAGACGGGTAAAGTTTATATGTCTGCTGACGAGCTGAAAGATCACAGAAAATGTTTTTCATCACCTATAACACGAAATTGAGTTATTTTCTTGAAGTGTTTATTCATTTAAATATTCTATAATCAATTGAAGGCCTCAACCTGCATTTTTTATTTCATTCTTTTTCTCATCTTGTCACCGAAAAATGTAAAGAATTTGAGCCTAATAAATAACTTTAAAGAAGGTCAGACGAGTCAACACTAACTTCTAACAAATCTGGGATAAATGAAAATATAGTGTTATGAGTCCAGTGCTATTCTAAATATACATGTAAAATTACGTTACAATTACGGTATTGAACACATTCTCTAAGTGAATTTACTTATTAAGCCTATTCATCATACGAAACACTTATAGTTAAGTACGTTTATCAATAATAAAATTAATTAACGCACTAGATGCTCGCGACTAGCTTGAACATTAAATTATTGTTGCTACTTCAAATAAGCCGAAATAATAATTCAAGCCGAAATAATATTTGCTACTTCATTAAGTAATCGTTAATAGGTTGGATTCCTCATACAATTTTTTTTATATACGAACAAAACTTTTATTTGAACTCCAAACGTTTTTCTACCTGGAAGATGGAGCTCCTTTATCATTAGTTTTTAATTGAAGGAAAATCTCATCGACTGATATTTTTAGTTTAACGTTATTATCAAAACAGGACGGATATAGCGACGTAATTCTCAACATGGACGTTTATAACATATAATATATTTCTCAAATTTTTAAAGTTAAGTTAATACAATTTATTGTAACTCTTACGGAAGACGCAGATGCTAAACTTATTTAACTTTAATTGATTTCCGCTTTACGTTGCAACTAAAACCCTACTTTTATATTGGTTAATGTTAACAGTGCATGAGATTTGCCCAAACCATTGCTGTCATTATAATAATCAGACAACAATCATGTTGTGGTAATAATTATCATAAATCTTTATGTTTTATAGATGACTAAGCTTGGATTGAGAAATACAAGGATTCGAAGTCGATTTAGAAAATCGACACAATACCGAATAGCGCAAAGGAAGCTCAAGGTTTGAATCCGATCCGATTTTATTACTGACATTCCTGGTGGATGCCAGCGTTGAGCATCCAGAACTTTTGCGACGAGATGCGCTGACATTCTGCGGTTTCTGCGTGACATCGGCGCTGAGTTGATCAGAGGGAACATTGGTGTCCATGTGGAGAGATCGTCGCGACGATCGTAAGTGATGCGATGATCTACTGCCCAACAAGTACTGTACAGATCTACGATCTGGTGGACCTCGATCATGTATCGGTTCCTTTTTCCTCAAGATCGGTGGTAAGGAATTTTTCGTAACAAAGTCATCGAGCACATTGTTGATGGTAAGATTCAGAGAAACTTTTTTACAACCATTTTTGGTCGTCGTGGAATTTGATGTTTCATGATTCTCAGGCAAAGGATTTTTCTGAACATGAACGGAAGAATCTTTACATGAATTTAGGATTCCTTCAGACGATCTCTTTTTGAGAGCGCCATGAGGTTCCAGAGATGCCAATCCCTGAAAGCTTAGTCTATTTTTCAGCAAAGGTGGGAAATTTTGCTGACTTGGCGACACAATAACAGTTTGCACCTGAGCTGCATCACACACTTTTGTCCATAAAGACAATTCATTATTTCTTTCATGCAAATCTTCTCGAGATTTTATCTTACGTTCCATGCATTCCATGTTTTCCATTCCTACAGACCTCATATTAAGTCGATTCTCCGGAGCTGCTGGAAACTCCGCCAGGGTTCGCTGATTGAAGGCCATATTCAGAAAATTATTTTCGTGCTGTGAGATGCCATCAAGAGTTTGGTTGAACAAAAAGTTGGTGGGTAGTTGCTTCTGTTTCTCGTTTACCAGGACAAGTTCGACGACGTCTTTAGCTTTCGGAAGGTCATGAGGTTTATTATTTTTGATATAATTTTGCGTAGTTATTATCTCGGAACCTATGTCTTCTGGAGATTTGTTGGACATGACACTGGCTGGTTGTTGCCCTTGATTTTTATTTTTACTGTCAGTTTTAGTTTCCAGGTTTGTTTGAAGGTCCGGAACCTGAGGCGCTAGCGTCCTCGCTGGCACTCGCACCAGAGGCATCACCGCTGCCCCTGCCAGTCCGCTCAGCGCTGTTTTCTGTTGGTTACAAAATTAACAAATACAAATTAAATAGAGTTTCTGTTAGGCATTAAATTATGAATGGAAGCGGTGTTCTGTTCATCATAAAATTACGCATTAATTTTTTTTATTAAATTAAATATAAAATATTCTTTCTGTCAAGCATGAAATTACTCATTGTAGCCGTTTTCTGTTCGTTGTAAGTTAAAAACTAAATCTCTGTGGTGCCAAATATTTTAATAACTCTCAAGAAGCTATTGCTGTTCAAATTTCGCGGGCCTGAATAAACCCAGCAAATATTGGTCAAATTCAGCTCAATGGTAACTTTTGTTACACGTTTATTCACGCTTGACCATCAGGCCCTGAAACAGAAACTTTTCTATAGTTCCCGAAATTAAAATATTTTCCTCTAGTCCGTCTCCAGCCGTGGCAGCGAACAACTTGCGCGGTAGGCAAAGAAGACATGAGTAAAAAATAACTAAACCTTGAGCTTTGCGCTAAGATGTTTTTAACTGAGGGATAAGATTTCGTTAGCTGAGGGCCGAGATGCCTTTAGCTGAGGAATGTGACATATTTAGCTGAGGGCTAAAATGCCTTTGGCTGAGGGATAAGAAGCCTTTAGCTAATGGATAAGATGTTTTTTGTTGAGGGATAAGATTTCATGAGATCCCTTTAGCTGAGGGATGAAACCTCTTTACCCGAAGGATAAATGCCTTTAGCTGAGGGAAAAGATGCCTTTATCTAAAGGATAAGATGTCTTTAAATGAAGGCTAAGATGTCGATGTCTTTAGCTGATGGCTAAGATCATTTCAGCTTCAAGCAACAAAGATGGCTACAAGCAAAGGACCGACCCAAACCAAGTCTCGGCGCAGGATCCGGAAGAGATTTTAGAGGCGCTCCATTTATCAATTTCGAGCATCATTACTTGCGGCTTCGATGGCCTTCACAGACACCAATTAATTACGCGGCTAAACTATATGCCTTCAGCGCTGCCTTCACTGTCTGTGTGAGCTTCAGCGTAAATATATGCCGAATAAGGCGCGAACAATGCAATAAATCTCATGCTGAACGGTCGCAATAAATCTCATGCTGCTATGGTCGCTTATTACTTTACGCTCAATACTTATGTCAAACTCAAACTTCACGAAGATTTGCATGCACTACTGACTGTGAATTTTATTATACCCTTAATCAATAGGCCTTTAGTTGTATGAACGGCCACACATTGCATTCATATTAAACCCTATAACGAGGAAACTAAATCATCATCAATGGTCATCTAAGCCTTCGAGTTCGAGGAAATAAATATTGTATCCACAGGTTTGCCTAAAATAACAAATAATTCAAAGTGTAACTAAATCTGGTGAGTCACGATCCATCTTCTGGCTACATGCCAATCGAAGTCTACGTGAAAGATCAAATGACTTCGTAGATTTGAGTCGAAAATTTCTAGATCTAGGAAATGGTTTCGTCAAAACGCTGGGTTAAATATTGCAAGAGTTTTGCTTCGAGAATCGTTTGATTTCCAAATGGAAGTTTAATGTTGCCCCCAAGCCATGGTTGATTCATTTCAAAATGTAAGTATTTTGAGTAATACAACGATTCAGCCATGAAGAACATATTTATGCTCAATAAATTATTTAAATATTCTGCTCATTTAAATAAACGAGCAGAAATTTATTTCACTCCATTTGATGACGAATATTAATGATTATAACTGACAAAAAATGTATATAATGGCATACAGGAATATTAATATATCAAGCTTCATATTATACAAATTAAAATCATCTATTTTCATCGTCAATGGACAAGCGTGTTATTTGGGATTTGCTAGACTCGTCCCTTCAGTTGATGCTTTTAAGCAACAAATTTTCGTTCTCAAAGAGCAACACCAATGGCATTGAATCGCTCAATTTGGGTCGAGAATTTCCCAAGAAAAACATTCCACGCGGTCTACGCCGATGCATTCCTTGGCATCGGCCGCAGCAGAAACCGATGTTGTGAGACATGGCACTCGATGTAGGAATTTATCTCCTTCAAAAGTCCTGTTGAAGTTACAAGAAATAGAGAAAAGGAGGCCGTTATTTTGAAAAATGGGCTGGCTAATGCTGGGACTTCCTAGAGTTTTACATCATTTCTGAACCGTTATGGATGTTCGTCCCACACAAGAAAAACATCAAGTCAAAAAATGATAGGCCATTTAATTTGAAAAATTTGGTTCGGGTGGAAAAAGAAGAAATTAATATTGAAATTTAACCATAGCGTCGAATTAGAACAATCAACTCTAAATGTGTTCGTTATGTCCAAAAGGTAATAATAATGAATCATTTATGATTTATAATTAGCCTACTACAATATTCGCATCAAGGAGGTTACCGTAAAGAATTTTCAGGCGATCTTACGCCTTGACGTTACTTTTAAACGCTTTTTCAAACTACACTCGCCGATGCGTAGCTCCGTAAATTGAATAAAAATCAGTATATTATAATATGCATAACTATGTAACAGGCAAATAAATGTAAAAGTATAAGTTAATGGAAGTACTCACTTTAGCCGGTAGCTTCTTGTTCGGACAACACCTTTGCCTGCGGAACATTAATGCCATTAAAAGAAAACCTATAATAAGAATAAACAACTTACTTAAAGATTATCAAATAAAAATGTGGAACATGCAATGTTGAAAAAAATTATTATCATAACTAGTGATTCCTTTTAGACGTCATTCAAACTAAAAAATTCTTCACACTCTTATGGATTGAATATAATACACTGAATTTAAATTATTTTATCAGATATTTAGAAAATTTGAGTAGTCATGCCAATTTTACACCGAACAAACAATAAAATTCTCAATAAAATACATTCGTTCCACCGATTCAGACTAACGCAGCAAATGTTCGCCTACACAAATGCAATCTTTGCACGGAACTATAATTTTTATAACTTATCATTCCGCGAAATTTTCATGGAAAGCCTGATAATATTCCGTCCATAAAAAAGCAAGAAAATATAACCACAATGAATACAATAAACTAAGTCTCAGTATAACCAGACTTTACAGTCAATTTGCGTAACCGAAATGCAATTGGCGATAAAAGCCTCCCAGAGATTACGATGTTCATCCATGCAAATAACCTGCAGAATAAAATTGCCTCTATGTTTTACCGTCCATTGACGTAATTGAGCTACTGTATAACATACATTGTTCTTTAATATTCTGATATTGGCGAGCACAACTGCGCTCTCGCCTCGCCAATATTGCTTGTGCTGCGTCCTTCTTTTGTCTTCTGAATATAGCGACGAACTTTAATTTCAATGAATGAGTTTACAGTCTTAGATGCCGAACATTTAATCAACTCACTGCCACAGCAGAGAAAGCATTCGAAAGCTTCCTGTTTTTTTTTTCTACTCAGGGTTATAGAGAAAAACGCAAGCAGGCGGTCAGTTTATACGGAGTTTCTATTTCACTATCACAATAACTGACTTTTGGATTGCCGTGCCTGAGTGAAGACTGTAAAGAGGAACTGCTGTCTGCTGCCTAGATTGCTTCGGAATAATTTTGCACTTGGAAAATAAAGTGGTTGACTCGTCTTTCACTGTAATAGAGTTTTCAGTGTTTGAATTTAATACTCACTCGTTCTTGAATTTAATACTCACTCGATGTAGTTTCAACTGCCTTCTTACAATTACCTTTAATTTGAGAACAAGCTCAATGTTCAAAAGCGTACATGTTCGCATGGCGTATCAGAACACATGCATACAAAGGGCAGGCATGCACTTGGCGTATTAGCTCACATTTTCACAACGCGTCTTGTGCTCACACAAAACTTATTATATCACTCGATCAAAACACGTATTGGCTCACACATAGAGTGTTGAATCACACATTCACAATTTGTTTTTGTTCACACACAGCATATCAGCTCACAAGTTCACAACGCACGCACGAGCACACACACAATATATGAAGGCAGGCTCGGGTTGCGATGGCAGAGGTGAAGCTAAGCTACGTCGTTGGCCGGACGTCTTCCAAGCCATTAATTCGAACGTTTAGATGGAGGGATCATTTCGAGGGGGCTGGGGAATTAATGCTGCTTGAGGCGAGCTCGGGCTGTGATGAGTGGGGCATTGAGAGGTGTTGTGTTTGTGGTGTTGAATACAGTGTAGAATTGTATGGTCTTGCGCACAGTTATAATTATTATAATGATTTGCATTATCAATTATGGCGTGTGTGATTTGGCATTTTAGATAACGTTGAGCACGGCGTAATGGTTAATGGTGCGACTGGTGATGCCAGTATTGTTGTGAGTTGATTCATCAATGGTATGAACGCTGGGCGAGTGGTGTGGAAGAGCATGAGTTCCAGATACCAATTTTCTAAGTTACGACGAATGTACAGCAAATGGTATGAATTTATTGCAATGGATAAACTCGGGGGGCATGAAGCCTTCTCCGCTTTCATTTTCATTTCTAAGACCGTGAAGATAACAGGCGAGTAAATCATATAACTTATCGATACACAATAAAGTGTCACACTGAAACCACACCGAAGGAAATAAATAGGCATTTATCGGCGTGTATTGAATACTGCCGAAATGATCTACTGTATTTTTTCATGCTCAAGATAGACATGAATACTTGCTGCGACAACTCACTTGACAGTGAGATACGTTCCTGAATTCAACCATGGATAAAACATGTTAATCCGCGGAGCATGGCATTTCCTTTCTGTTGACTCTCATCTAAATGCAAAGGCTGCCTCGTCGCCACCCAGCCTGTTTGCACGTCACCGAGAATTTACCCGAAGATCTTGAGCAACCAAAGTGGAATCCTGACTGTGCTCCGCAGATATTTACGGTGAACGCAGTTTTACAGCTCACTGGCAAACTCAGCGGCCAGATATCCAGTTTCAGTCGTCGGAATGTTTGCGTCGAACTAAATTTTTAGATAAACTGGAATATTCATATCAACTAAAATGTCCCTTCGCGTTGCATTGCTCAAAATGATCTCCATTGTTATAATATAAATATATTCGATATTGAAATGTATGTCAACGATTAAAAGAATAGTCTGAATAATATAAAAATATTAAATAAAAAAAATCTAATGTGGTAATAATGTAAAAATCTTAATCTAATATGAATAAAAAACTGAATAGCATCATTAAGCTGAATAGAATGTTCCCGTCAAAATGAAAAGAATTGCCACGACAAAATAAACAGAATTATTTCTCCCTGAATTTTAGGGCTCCACAACACCGCATTCGTTCAATACATGAGATTTGATATACGCTTCGGATTTTCATTCTGCCTCAAACGTAATTTTCACTTCGAGGAATGAGCTCTGCTAGGAAATATTATGAAGCTATTGGACCATCGATTATTGGCTAAAGCATTCAGTGGCCCCGAAAGAAAATGTCCCTCGCGAGATGCGCATTTCATTCGAAATCATTAAACTTACCGACGTCGGAATTTTTTCTGAATTATAGGTCAGGAAGAAATATCCTTTACGATTTATATGATTTCATACGATTATTTTATTCGATTAAATTTTCGTCAATTGAGTGGACAGGCTGCCAGTTGTTATAAACCAACAAGTTAACACAGTGTTGCCCAGAATGTATATACTGCAATAGGGACTTTATTTAAGTGACACCGAACATACGTTTTTAATTTTGAAAAATATTAGACCCTAAATTTCTGATGATTTTTATTCATGTTCAAATTCTTATTAAATACAGTTCCAATTTTCCTGTCTCAGCTTTACGGGGGTTCCAGGTTTAAAAACTGAAAATGATGTAGGTCGAGGTAATAAAACTGTAAGATTTTCATCCCAAGTACACACTTAAACAACTCCTACATATTTACCGCACTGAGCTTCGAAGCAATCGAGATAACATGACTAAATCGTAAAAGAGTTGTAAATAATTATAGGGGCATTAGATTCGGGATTATTAAATTGATAATAATAATAAAATAATGAAAGGGAATAGGTGAGCGTGGATATTCAATGAGGTTTGAATTATTCTTAAATTGAAGGGTTAGGGTAGAAACGAGGTAGTAATGGCCGTTATCAAAGATTATAAACAAGCGTACGTATCTAAAGAGGTTCATTTAATACGCAATCATCGTATTAATCACCCGAGGTTGCAGAACACGTGGGTGGAGAAGAGGCAGTAATAACTGTTGTCAAAGATTATAAACAAGCGTAGATATTGAATGGGGTTCACTAGAATGCTCCACCCTAGATTGCTCAACGAATTAGCAACTGTCCTGGCCGGCCCTTTAACAGTATTAACAGAAGACTTGCGTGGAAAAAGATCTTGGAGTTTATGTCGACGAGGAGCTAAAATTTTATAGGCATATTGAAACGCAAGTTAATACATCCAATAAACTGCTTGGGCTGATCAGACGCTCCTATGAGTACCTAGATAAAGAAATGATGAAGCTGTTGTTCACCTCTGTCGTGCTCCCGAACCTAGAGTTTGGAAACGTTGTGTGGTCACCGAGACTTGAAAAGGACAAAAATTTAGTTGAGAGTGTTCAAAGACGTGCAACAAGGATAATCCCAGGATTAAAGGGCAAGTCTTATGAAGAAAGATTGAAGATTATGAAGCTTCCCAGTCGTCGCCTGCGTGGTGACCTCATTGAAGTATACAAGTATCCTCATGGTTTGTACAAGGTCCCAGAAGGATTACTAGAATTTGAAACAAGAACCAACACCAGAGGCCGCAACTATAAACTAAAAAAACTGCGGTGCAACTTATCCACGCGACAACATTTCTTCTCGCTTCGAGTCACTGACATGTGGAACAGCCTCCCTGAAGATATTGTTGACGCTCCGAGTATGAACGCGTTCAAGAACAGACTAGACAAGGCCATGCATGAGCATATGTTTAGTCTTAAAATGCCTCGTACCCAACGGAACAACTGATATCTAGAAGCGATTTTTAATCTACCGTCCGTTGAAAAGATCTGATCAAAAGGCCAGTCTAGTCAAGAAAAGTACAAGAATCGGCGACAGGCCTATCCAGGCCTATTCTTCAATGCCGAAGATACTATACTATACTATACTATACTATACTATACTATACTACTATACTATACCTGAGGTTGCGGCACACGTGGGTGGAGAAGAGGCAGTAGATGACTGTTGTCAAAGATTATAAAAATATTATAAACAAGCGTAGTTATTGAATGAGGTTCACTGTACCTGAGGTTGCGACACACGTGGGTGGAGAAGAGGCAGTAATGACTGTTGTAAAAGACTATAAAAAGATTATGAACAAGCGTAGTTATGGAATAAAGTTCACTGAACCTGAGGTACAGTGAATCTGAGGTACCCACGCGGCACGCGTGGGTAGAGAAGAGGCAGTAATGACTGTTGTCAAAGTCCAAAGATTATAAAAGATTATAAACAAGCGTAGTTATTGAATAAGGTTCACTATACCTGATGTTGCGGCACACGTGGGTGGAGAAGAGGCAGTAGATGACGGGGTTGGCGGCGGAGTTGAGGGGAGCCAAGGACTGGATGAAGGTAGCGAGCGCCATGTTCTTGGGAGTTCGTGGCACGTAACCGAACACTTGCAGCAAGTCGAACACGATGTACGGCGACCAGCAGATGATGAACACTGTCGGTGTGAATAGGTATAGTTGAAGATGGATTATAATTTGAATGTATTACAAGAGTCATGTATTTGAGGTACCGTATTGGTAAGAGAACCATTTCCAGGGGGCGGGAGAGAAGTGCGATTTTCAGGCGATGAACATCAAAATTTCAACGGGAAAGAAAGTATTAGATTCATAATTAATATCATTATTATTTAAGTTCTTATTGAAAAATAGGCTTCTGACACTAAATCTAAACATCGGATAAAGAGAAAACACTTGGTATTTTTCAGGCGCAACACGTGGACTGTAATAACTCCAACAAAATAAAAATAAAATTTTGAATTGTACAATTGAATGATATAATGGCAATAGCCAAGATATTAAACAAAACTTACTGTTAAAGATAAAGATTGAGCGTGAAAGCTTCCACAATTATTCATGCCTCTGAAACTTGAACACTATAAATCATCATTTAGTATTCTAGCCTCGGAAATGTTCCTTCAAATCTTCATTAATAATTTCCTTCAATTTTTCATTAATAATAATAAATTAACTTCATCCCAAATAATGTCGATGTAATAATATGTAATAATGTAATAGTTCAATAAAAAATGAAAATATTGAGATTTTTTCAAATACATGGCAAGTGGCATAACTTAAAGCAGTCCATTTTTAGCGCATTTTCTCATTTATGGAAAAAATGCACTATTGTGCTCGCCATGTCCGTCTGTCCGTCCGTCTGTCCGTCCGTCTGTCCGTGACCTCAAGTTTTCGTCGACGAGAAAATGCGCTTTCTGTCACTCACTGCAGTGAGTACTGAGTTATATTTTCGCGTGTTACGGAGGGTACGGAAACAAGACTTGCATTTATCCTCTATAATGACAGACACATGTACGTGGATTGCAGTCTTCATCCTCCGGGAATGGAATGAATCACGCCAAAGGCCCACCGGGCAATTGTTGCGAATGGCAGTTACGGACGTACGAGTAACGAGCGAGGACGGTCTCTGCGGACGCTTCGTATCAACGATTCCGGTGTCAGGTACGATGGGATAATATACAATGCATAACAACACATCTCTGGGTTATCTTCGGTGAGTTATGCGATGTGAATAAATTCCTTACATGAAATACTTGCGACAATCACGGTGAGTTTATGATTGGTGAAAGACATAAAAGATCTCATGGAGGATTGTCACGACAAACTCTTGACGTCGGAGAGCTCCAAACGAAACACGGATTTGAAATAATCGGTTGAGTTAACGGAATCTCAAGGAGCAGTGGGCGGTACAGACCATGCCAAAACCTAGGGCTGGAAACATCACCACAAAACACGCCCGTAAAATCTCTCTTCCGAGGTCGATCGTGAGCTTCGGGGAAGAAAATGGAAACAAAAACTGTGAAATAAAATATGAAGTAAAAAAATCACCCCACCGACCATAAAACGACGACTTTCCAAGATCCTCGACAAGCGGGCCTCGTATTAAACTCGTCGTCGTTCCGTGTAATAAGATCCGTGCAGCTTCTTTGGCCTGAATTTCCCGTCCTAATGGAAACGTGGATTTGTAAATAAACGATACAAAACTCTTCATCGTCGAATAGATTGGAAACGAAAGAATATTCTTCAGAAATTTTTAGACACGGATTATTTATCGTAAAATTTACCCGAGTGATTCTTTTGAGGTTTCTGGGAATGTACGCGAGATTTTCTCTCTGACTCACGACTCCTCTGAGCACGTGGAATAGTTTTTATCAGAAAATCAGAAACTTGTACGTATTTATTAAAATTCTGACAAAACTCAAGTGCTAATCGGATTTCCCTAGAGATAAAAATCTTTGAAAGACTAATGCAATACAATAGCAATATTTTCTTGACAAATAAAAGCACGCAACTAACCCATTAAATTTAGCTGTAGTCCTGAATTCCTAGACCGGTATTTCATCGTTTAGACTTTGTCTTGCGTCACTATTGGGAAGCATTGCAGTTGTTCTCACATTATCATCAGGAACGCAGGTTCTATTAAAATAACGTGCAGAAAATTAACTGGCACAGGAAATTCCTTTGACATTAACTCACGAAAATTATCACGAAAATTCGAGAATGATTATTATTCACAGGTATAATTCATGAACAAAGATCAACACACGTTGAATTTTAGTCACATTTATTTCTTGTGTATCGATTGATTAATTTTTTTACTTCTTGAGGGTTTCCAGATGGTAGTCGAAGTCGATTGTCAGCATCACGGATAACGAATAGGAGCAACAAATATTTCAGATTAATGAAGAATATAAAAGTAAGTTTTGTGTCTGAACCGCAATGAAAATGTTGGAGGATTTTTACAACAGGATACTGGCATACTGGATATAGTATAACATCACTGATTCACTGTATACACCATAAATAATGCCAACGAAAACTTTTCAATGCAACGAAAAATGAAATGTTTAAATTTTGGCCGGAGCTCAAGCTTTCGTTATTCGTATTTCCTATCAACATATCCCATTAGTGCATATTTTTTTTCTACGCGTAAAATATAATGCGTCACATAATCAACAATAAACATGTACCGTTAATTTGCCTCCAGATTAGCCCTAAAAGATATCTTGTAGAGACGCACGCATGCAACTCACAGACACGATCATCATTGCACATATCAGCCTCGTCATAATTCTTGAGCTGCAGCCTCTTATCTCAGAAGTTCGTCCAGCGAATGCCTGTCAAATCTCCAACATTTAGTACGGCTTATCAGCAGTAAAGCGTGAGTATCTCGATATACGTACATGTATGTACAAGTGATCCCATAGAGGAAAGTCTAGGCTATAAAGTGAACTTCGGCTCGTCGTCTTCAGGAGATTCCGCTTTGTACCTCTCGTAAAGATATTTCTTAAGGGTGGAACTTCTCCTGGCGGCCTACATGCAAGAAATGCAAATGATCCCGGCTTAGCGGAGTCAAAATACAAGCTATAACACAACTGTCAAAATTCAAGAATTAAGCCATGCAGCCGCCATTACTGCTGGTAAACAAAGTTTCAGGACAACCGAAAACTTTGAAGCCCCCGATTGTGTTTTGTTATGTTTCGAGTGAAATTGTTTATGTTACCCATAAATTTGACATTCTCAACTCGCGTTTTAGACAATTACGTCTGCTAGTGGTAAATGTTGCAGATGGCATCTGTAGAATAACTTAATACTTCAAGTTTAAAATAATAATAATTGTTCATAGAGCAAGTTTTATGCCTATTATAGATTAGGAAAGAGTTAACTGACTATCATAAATGAAAAATACTTTAATTCATTTGATTTGAATTTTTAGTTACGGGCTTCTGAAGGCCAAATTCGGCATCTCTCAATCTTCCCGTACGGACCATCCCAAAAATACATAATTCTGTCAAAACACACATTCACCTGCCATATATGAGTTCACACATTTATTTCACCGGAGCCTCTGCCACTTGTTCCACGGTATGAAATGTGAAGAAGGTAAAGATATCAAATAATAATAAATATATAGTATCAAAATGTTGCTACTTAATTATAGGACAAAAATCCAACCTTTTCAGTGTCGATTACAATATCAGCATGAGTCTAAAAAAATTCGTTCGCGAATTATATGGAAGCCTTTGTGTTCTTTCTTGGGAGTGTTTTTAAGGCCATCAGTTTCCTTCGCGGAGAAGGTCGTCTTTTTTGATGGCCGCAATAGAGGTGCTTCATTCGCCAACGTCACTCGCGACCTCCGTAGTTTTGCCACTAAAAATGTAGACTTCGACTTCGAGAGCTTTTGAAAATTGGTCACCGTCTTCAAGGCCGAATTTTATAGTCTCCGTGATAGCATTTGATGACATTGTTTTCAAGCGAAGAGTTTTTGTGGCCGCCCTCGATGGACTTGGTCTTTGAATGTCGTCTGGCGCTACCGAGAATTATGAACTTCTTGCTGCAGTCCCTGGCACCCAGCAACCTCGTTTGTATGCGCGAGTCGGAGGAGTCGAGACACGTGGAACATGAGGAGTTCGGGGCTCTTTTGCATGGAAAGTTGTTGTCTCAGTTCCCTGGTGGTCCGAATAACTTAGAATTCAATTTAGAACAAACGAGGTGCGGACATGAGTCCGTTCCAGGTAACTGTTTGCCTTCGAGTATATAGCGTCTCGCGTGGGCCATCATTTTCATGCCTCGAGGCAGGGTTGGTTTACCCATACGTCTGGGAATTTTTCGCATTTTATACTAATGGTACAAACTTACGTCCTTACGGAATAGCACTGTTATCGTTATGAGTTAAAATGAAATTGCAATAATTTTCCGTTTATAATTTCAGAAAATTAATTTTTACATTGAAGTAAGAATCATTCAACTCACCTAAGACGATGACGAGAGTCATCTTGACGGTTTTTATCTTCGCCTTCGGGATGAGTCCGCGGGAGCTCGCTCTGCGCGAGTCTTCGTCGCACGTCGCGCGCATTGAGCTTCGCTCACCACCGTCTTCAGGAAGGTCATATATATATAAAACATTATTTTATTTTCATTACTGGTATGTGTGTGTGCGTTATTAAATTTTTTCGAACTATTCAATTTACTGGTATGTGTGTGTGCATTATTCAATTTTTTTCGCAATATTCAATGAAAAGAATAGTGATAAGAAAATAAAACAATGAATAAAGAAAAAAAACAGGAGAATACTTTAAAAAAAATAAAAGAAGAAATTTAAAATAATAAATGAGAGCGCAACAAACTCTGGCAAGATTGAGGTGCCGTAGCGGTGACGATGGCAGAGGCCGTCATGGGTCGCTGAGCGTTCATCATCAGTTTGCTTTTACTCCAGATGGTGAACACGATGGTGACGTAGCAGGCGCTTATCAGCAGACACGGTATGATGAAGACTGTGAGTGCCACTAGCACCATATACACCTGCCAGTGCCACGGCTCTGTCAGCCAGTTCCAGCACTGCAACTCGCCTGACAACACAATTTTAATTGTATAGTAAAATTTACAAAATTAGTTTTTTGTGCACTATTCAACATGAATTATATTGAGATCGTGAGGATGTTGACCTAATTTTATTTTTTTTGCCAAAACAGAATTAAAATTGAATAGTAAAATATGATAAATTAGTTTTCAGTGCACTATTCAATATGAATCATATTGGGATCGTTAGGATGTTGACCTAATTTTAATTTTCCGCCAAAACAGAATTAAAACTGAACAGTAAAATATGATAAATTAGTTTTTGTGCACTATTCAACATGAATTATATTGGGATCGTTAGGATGTTGACCTAATTTTAATTTTTTGCCAAAACAGAATTAAAATTGTACAGTAAAATTTGCAAAATTCGTTTTTAGCGCACTATTCAATCAATTAAATTGGAATCGCTAGGAAGTTGACCTAATTTTTATTTTTCGCCTACTTGAAAACATAAAATTCAGAAGAAATTTGTCTATATTCGAAAATATTGTAACAAGCTTCAGAGTGCTAACCTAAATTCAGCTCAAGCTTTGATATAATTTTAAATCATATTTGATGCTTCAGTAACAACAAAATTACTATTTCTATTCATTGGAAGATAATTTTAATTAAAAATGTGGAGATTGGACTTCAATTTTTTTATCATCCTGCTTGGTTTTTTTGTTGTTGTTATTGAATCTCTTAGCGTTTCACTATCACTGAAGGAAAGTGCATGAAAATCTAAGACGGTTGAATCGCTCTGCATTTTTCAGTTTGTGTCGGCCACTGAAATGTTCTGATGCTACGAGTCCTTGCACGGAAGCAATCGAGATTTGTCAGTGGAGTGAAATTGCCAGGCGTGGAATAAAAAACGCAGATCCAATTGACCTCTGAATAAAGAATTTTTAGTATGAACACTAAATTTTTTGAACACAATAAATATCATATTATCACATTTAGGATCAATACATTGAAAAATTAAATTTAAATAATAATTAACGTTAAAACACTCAATTAAACATGAGTAGTCACTGTTTAAGAGTCGCTCCACAACTTTATAAACCAAATATTTTAACAACCGAATTTCATCATAACTTTCTAGTTATACTTAAATTTCTACTAATTTCGAATTTAAACTGAAGAAAATATGTTTTTGTCCAGCAATAGATGGCTTTTGTTAGAAGCCGGTGAGTTGAGTGCGGTGAAGACATAAGATTTATTGTTCGTGTACAGAAGCGTGCTGTGGGACTCGTGTTGTTCAGCAGTGAAAGATGTAGTGGAAGATACTGATGCTTGGTTATCCTTAGCCCGCTCAAAAAATTTCCACGAAAAATTCATATTACATTCAAAACTCTTATTCATATTTTTGGACGATATTCCTAACGCACTTCTTGAATCTCATAGGCAGCAGAAAAAGTTATACCTCAGTTTTTGAGATGAAAAATTGAAAGACTTGCACAATCTCTGATGGTCTCTTTTCAAGCTTAATGAAGCGGAGAAAATGTATCCAGCTCGTTGAGGATGCATGTTCGGCCATTACAGTGCATAAATATCATTCTCATTCACATTGGCGTCTAAGGAATGTTATCCATTAGAGAATTCTCGGCCAAAGCTCCGACATTCACGAGCCTTGCCGAATAATACTCTTGATGATAATGATAATGATATCGCAGTGCATTCACAAAATCCACTCCTACTTACGAATGTCCTAAGAGCGATCATCGGCATTGCAAAGGACGCCAGATTTGCCAGCGTGAACTATTCTGCAGTTTGCAGTCATGAGCTCGCGTCAAGATTATGTAAATGCGCATTTGCTTCTCACTGTAAAGGCTCGCGAGTTTCTTTCGAGAAACTCCGCCGTGGCACCTCGATTTGAAGTTTCCACGCAATACCTTAGCTGGATAACTCCATTATTGGGGCTGAATTAACCCCTCTGTATTGATGACTGATGGTTATGCATGAGTTTGTTATTCCAACTCCGTTTACCATATTTTGCTGAGTAAAATAACGTATTTCAATCACTTTGTGATGGTTTCCTGGTTAGTTACCTCAATGCTTTTGCTCCTTTTTGAAGATGGGAAAATTTATTAATATCATTAGTTAATAGGGTTTTGATATACAACGTTTTGACATATACATTTGCTTTTTTCCCTTCCTGGGGGTCAATCTATATTCATTTGATTATTGTCTATTTAATCAATTGGGGTATCTTCATCAATTGGCTTTACTACAAATGTCAAGGTGTAAGCAGCAGGTTAATAGGTTAACAAAAACTTAGTTGTAATAATTGAGAGAGATTTTTTCATTAATTTTTCCTACTTCAACCTGTTAACTCTATTGAAATATATAATAAAAATAAATTAATAAAAAAAATATTCAGATGAATAATGGTGGTTGTATACAGCACCAAATTTTGAACCTAATTTGCAGCCTTCGAACAGAGCCTTTGCGGATTGAACAATATCTTCCCTGGGCAAATAAACTAGAGCAGGCAGATGCTTAACAAGTTCTTTGGTCGTGGCAGATTTCTTGTTTCATTTCTAAAAATTTTATCTCAAATTTAAACTTGAATTCGAACATAGGCGCACAATGCAATAGAATTTAACACAAAGAAATTTGTTCGATTAAGTTAATTAAAAGCTTGCTACCGGCATGAATACAATTCAGCAAATATATTTCCAGATGTGTGATCACAATGTACTATTGAATAATTCTGCCACCGAAAATTCAAACCAAAATAAACTTGAAGAAAATGTATGCAGCCTAACGGCTTGTTTACTGGACCCCGAACCCCATAAGTATAGCCAATACGAGCATAGTATATAGTTCCATTAATATAGTAAACGGTGGTCGTTCAGAGACCGCAGGCGGCAATCGACGGACACTCACATTTTATACTCACCTATATTCATCTTTTGATTGCTTCCTAAGCCAACGAACACATCGTCGTCAACTCACTATTTAAAAGCTGAGTTAAGTGACAAAAAAAAACTTTAATTAGCTTTACTAGAAAACTTTTTGTTCTTTTTTTACTTCTACTTTCAAGTAGAAGTAAAAAAAGTTTTTATATTTACTTTTTTATTAAATTTTTTTTTATTAAAAGTTTTTTATTTTATTTTCTAAATTTGACGAAACGATTGATATTTATCAGATGGTAATAAGATAATTATGTGTTGGGACTTTGAAATTATTTTCCAGATATTATTATTATCTATTATATAAGCGCTAACTCGAAATTACAAGAATTGAAATGGATGAGGCAGTTTAGCCCTATTTTCAGGTCCCAAATCTTAAATCAGGTTTTGTCCATGTCTGACTATTTTCAACGTATTCGAGACATTTATTCATTACATATTAGCGTAAATGGTTGAAATTCTTTAAGTTTGTTTAAAAAATTAGACATTTTAATATCAACTTCTCAATAATGATGATTTTTCTAACGGTTGATGTAATATAACATATTATCGTTGACTTACCGTCAACTTCTGTCTCCTCGAACAGCACGAGGATGGGCGCTGCGAACACCGCAGACAGCGCCCACGCTACCGCCACCAACTGCCGTGCCCGCCTCCCTGCCCGCCACACCAACAAACTTAAATAAACAAACAAACTTTAACCCATATCCATACACTTAGCTTATACATCTTACTCATACATTTTACTCATACATCTTATCCATCCACCTTAACTATTCATTTTACCCGTACATCTTACCTATACATCTTATCCATACATCTTGCTAATACATCTTATACATACACCTAGCTTATGCATCTTACTCATACATCTTACTCGTACATCTTACTCATACATCTTACTCATACATCTTACTCATATATCTTACTCATACATCTTACTCATACATCATACCCATACATCTTATTAATACATCTTCCCATACATCTTACCCATACATCTTACCCATACATCTTACCCATACATCTTACCCATACATCTTACTCATACATTTTATCCATTTATCTTACCCATGCATCTTACCCATACATCTTACTAATATATCTTACTCATACATCTTACCCATGCATCTTACCCATACATCTTACCCATACATCTTACTCATACATCTTACTAATACATCTTACTCATACATCTTACCTATACATCTTACCCATACGTCTTACCCATACATCATCAAAATTAGTACCGATGAATTGGGTTATCTTTTCAGAATTTAAACACAATTTTCATCCACCATGAAGTTCATTTATAATTTTTCACTAATAATAAACTGCAAAGATAATTAGTCATGTTCATTTTTGAAAAAGAACAGCCTCCATTTTCCACCGTTGTTAAAAAATTCATCATTTTTCATGAACAATAATAATAATAATAAGTGATAAAGAAATGAGTAAGTAAATAAATACTAAGTAAATAAAAATTTGCTGTTCTGATGATGTAAAAATGTACCCCAAAAATTCCTTGGTAATGCATCTGGTGGAACATAAACAGGACGACTACGTCAACATGACAAGCAAAATACAATGGGAATCTGTAGGCCAACGTTTGCTCGTTATCAAGCCTCTGCTGTGTCCACAAGCCAGCGAATCAAATCTAGAATTCCAACGACACCACTTACAGAAAAATTCTACCTTTGTTTCAGGCGCGTCAACACTGACAGATATTTGCAGACTCTAGGCAGAGGCCAGTGAAGGTGGACTCATACCCTACATTCAACTAAAGATTTGAACGAACCTAGCAAGAGGTTCAGGTGAGGTAACTGACCTCTCATTACGATAAAAATGTTGTGGAATTTTTGACGATAAGTTAAACTTCTAATTAATTGAATTTATTCTTCTTCTGTCCCGATAGTTAATTAATGAACAATTGACTTGATTATGGTGCAGTGTGTACAATATTAACTGCAAATTAACTGGTATTACAATACAATATTAACTGCGAATTAACTGATATTACCGTATTTTTCCCACATGTTATGAAACATTGAATAAAGTTACTGGTTCCGTTTCAGTCCAATGTAGTCTTATTTTCGAATATACGCCAATGAATTTCCAAATTAATACGCGCATCCATGAAATATTTTTCACAGGTGTGAATACATGACATAATATATCCTGAAGTAATCTTTTTACGACCAAAGCAATCCTTGTTCGGAACTTTGTAGAATTTATTCCACATCATGGTATTATGGTGGACTTCCCATCAATTCATTAACTTATTAATTCCACCAGATTTTTACGACACAATGCAATTGTTCTGAAGCTCTGTTTTTCATGTTTCTTCACAGCCCCCTTTCTTATTCTTGTCTACAGTCTGTCTCGAACGCCATATATCTTCACAGCCCTCCTTTCTTTTCATGCCTACAGTCCGTCTCAGACGTTATGTTCTTTCACAGCCCTACTTTCTATTTCTTGTCTTCAGACTATCTACGCCATATTTCTTCACAGCCCTCCTTTCTTTTTCTTGTCTACAGTCTGTCTCGGAACGCCCGTTTGTTCACGACCTTGGAAATAAATGCCATTGGCTTTATTGGCTCTATTAGACCGGCCATCGGTCCGTGTATTGGCAGTAGACCGAGCGTAGCCAAGGCCTAGGGCTCTAAGATAGCCTAGAATTTTCTCAGCGAGTACAACTTAAAAGATACAATGAAGATAATTTTGCCGCCCTTTCTTTTGGGACGAGCCTATTTTCCAGGATCTTACAGTCCTATTAGTGTTGACTTGAATTATTGCTTTACAATATATTTATTTTTCTTCCTTATTTTTTTATCTTCGTTATTAGCGAAGTAGATAACATTTGTTTTCGCTTTTGGTGATAGATTTCTTCATCGTAAATTCTCATGAATGAAAATTTCCATTGTCGTTGTCCGATAGTTTATTCCTTTCATCCTCCAATATATTAAAGATAAAAACTGCTGATGGCATGTACAATCCATGGAGATATTAAATGCGTTCTAGGGCTGGAGAAATTAGATGGTTCCCTCCATAGTGAACACACAACTACAGCAAAATCGACGGACATATATAAAAAATATATCATAACAATCAAATTCGACCACATGTAGCGTAATTGCCGAAATTCATCTGATATTATCAAATCATTATCCCTTTAAAATCATCATATTTTGAATACTACATGCATACAAAAAAATCTGAAAAGACTATTGCGAAAATTCGCAATCAATAATATACACCGGAATATTCACACACGTTGCCCATATAACATTCCAGAATGTAGTGAATTTTAGCTCTGAGTTCCAAGTTTGGTGTGGATATTGCCCAAGTATCGGGCACTTGAACTACTCCCAGTGACGGTTTAATGAGAACTCCAATGAGCTGCAGCCGCGTCCCAGAGAACGAGTTTCAATTAGTCTCCAGTCCCTGATATTGGCGGCGGTAGCTCGACTACAACCCACGCACAGCGTCACATGACTCGACGTCTCTCAATGTCAAATGTGTCTTTAGGTAACATTCGAAATGTGTAGCTCAACGTAAATGAATATTAAAACTATCAAACAAATCTATAATTGATATACTTGTAGGCGTAGCTTCAGCGCATCATCTTAGCGTGTCATGTGATGATCAGACTTTTACTGAAAGTAAATGCAAAATTAAAGTGCGAATTTTGCACCAATATGTTTTGTAGTCCCAAAGAATTGATCAGAGAATCAAGAACTGGTTCAATTTTTTTTGAATAGTGTGGCGTGCTTTAACTGCTGAAATTGTGCTTGACTTCAGTAATTGAATTTGCCTCATGACATTTCGATTTGACGCGGAAAACTAGTTGAAATATTTATTTATTTTAAAACGAAGATATATAATTTTTCACTCTCTTCCAGATAATTTTCGCATTCTTAATTTATGTGGTATGTCATTGAGTTTCTTGAATTACACATTTTATTATAATTTGCACATGGGTATTGGTAGCGCAGTTACCAGCTACATCCTTTCTATCGTTCTTAAATGGCAACGTTACTGAAGTGTACATCACTACAGTCGTTGCTTAAGTCATTCAGTCGTCCCCAAATGGCAACGTTGCTGAAGTGTACATCACTACAGTCGTTGCTTAAGTCATTCAGTCGTCCCCAAATGGCATCGTTGCTGAAGTGTACATCACTACAGTCGTTGCTTAAGTCATTCAGTCGTTCCTAAATGGCATCGTTACTGAAGTGTACATCACTACACGTATACTCCAGAAAATTAGCGTGAAATGTTAACGCAATCGTCGAATATTGCCGCCGGACACGACAGAACTTCAAAGGCTCTCGTGATATGCATGATTTCCTCAGCCCAGTTGAGCCTCCAGTAACTCAGTCTGGACTTTGTAGCAGGATTTTTCTGGGGCAATTATCATTTGCTGCTTTTTAATTCCTCATATTAATGACTTCAGCTTGAAACCTCAGCAAATACAAGGGTAAAAACCTGATAAACAGTAGGCTTGAAATCGTTCCTTGCGTATAAAGAACAGTTTTAATGCGATTTCGTGCATAACAGTATTTTTAATGTGACAGTTGGTTTTGCTGATCACTGCACTTGTGTGTAGCTAATATTGTATACACACGATATGGTTGATGTGAGTTAGCCTTCTCTGCAAAAAGAGTCGCATTTATCATAATGACATGCATACTACAATTGATAATTCACCCTATACGACTAGTCTGAGCGAAGTCGCCTCTTTCTTCACTGTGTTATTATTAAATGAACAATGAATTGCTTCCTTCAATCAATGACGACCATATCGTATGCTGACTCATGACGCTATAACTGCATGTCTTTTCACGGATAAATGCGTTAAATTTTGTCTAAATAGCGATGCACTTTTGCCCTTGTTTGGGACACCCTGACCCAGTATGGCCCGGCGAACGGGCGTATCAGTGCTATATGCAGAAAAAGTGTAATTATTTGGACGAATTGACCCATTTGTCTTGATGATTATCAGTTATGCACATGGAGTGGTTCGTGAAACTGAAGTAATTACCTGTTGCATTGGTAGTTCAAATAAATGGGCCACTTGTACAATGAAGGGCCATAAACAAAATGAATACAAGCAATATCTGAACGTGCTGCCTTGCTCAGAATTAACGGTCATGCAGTAGCTCTCCGGGAGCATACGTGTACTACCTCAGCACGTCTTAGGTATGTTTCAATATGATGGATTTTATCACCAAATGAATATGTTCAGAAATAATTACTAACTCTGATGCATTAATTTTCTAATTTTGCACACAAAAAATAAATATGCATACAGTAGTAGATGTAGTATATTCTATGAAATAAGCAGTTTAGAATATAACCTAACCTATCCAAACCTAACTTTGCCTTGCCTAGCCTAACTAAACCTTAAACCTGATATATAGTAAGCAGATTATAGTCATGGTTGAACTAGTAGATATATAGTTCAACCATGGATTATAGTAAGGTAAATATTGTGCGTTGGAAGCAATCCACGTAGCTTCTATGATGGATTAGATGAATTGATGACAAAACAAAGAACGACATCATATAATCAAATTCTTTATGACTAGCAAAATCAAACTTCGATCATTTTTGTGAATATTGTCGAAAATTCTTATGATTGGGACTTGTAATATTGTAAGCTTAACATCGACATAGGTCATCAACCGAATGCAGATTTATTTAGGTTAAAATAGTGATCTACTGTGTCATTATTATACAGTTTCTAGTGCATCAAAGCATTTATGAATGTTCTCTTGCAATTTTTCCTAAAGACGAGTTGTACAGTTTGCAATCTGACTCACAGCTGCCGGAGAAATTCATCGGGTGAGTAATGGCGTCGTAGCGGTCGATGCTGAGCGCCACGAGCACGTACGTTGACGAGTACGTCACCAGCGTCTGCGAGAAAAACGCATATAATGAATAATATATTTTTTGATGCAACAGAGTTGTCAATAACATTTACTTTTAGCAACGCTTGTCAATAATCAAATAGTGAAATTCGGAGAAATCCTCACACAAATCGTTAGAAATGCTAACTGCATGTGTGTGTTTTTTTACATCACTTCTCTTTAACTTCACCTCTTGTCTGTCTGTCTGCTACAAATCTTGTAATCGAAATTTAATTCTTTTCTACTTATCCTATCGATCTGAAATTTTGAACACTTGTGTAAAGTTGGAGACAATGCATGAATCAAATGTCAAAATGAATTATTTTAAAAATTAAAAATTTTTTTTTAATTAAAAAAATTGAAAAAATAATTTTGTCAGCTCCAAATCTTATAACAGATATTTGACACACTTTCACCTGTCTAATTGATCTGAAATTTTGCACACTTGTGTGAAGTCAGAGGCAATGCATGAATCAATTAACAGAATAAATAATTTTGAAAAAAATTATATATATTAAAAAAATTGAAAAATTAATTTTTTTAATTTTTGAAAATTAGATGAGAAATTCATTGTACATCCGCAAGATTAGAGATACTGGATTCTTTGGAAGTGTTATCTTTAAAAAGTAATTTTTAAACGTATATTATTTTCAAATGTTGTTTCCAAGCCTTGCACCATTCTTGATAAATTTCACTACTTTATTTCCAAAACTCACCAAAAAAACAAGTTTAACTGCGATGGTAGTGCAAAATTATCCATATTTAGCTTGAGGTGTAGTAAAACAATTCGCTTACAGAAGTTAAAGAACACTCGTGATACCCGTTGTAAATTTACAGGTGAACATTTTCATAAATTTTGATAACATCGTAAACGGATCAAGATATGCCACACTAAACTTCTCAAGCCACATTCGAAATATACTTCTTCAAGAAAGTCGTCGTCGGAGTTATTCGCTCGAAAATTGCTTCCACTGCGCTTTATTGCGGGTAAAATGTTTTCCGCTAGGCAAGATACTCGAGATTGGCAGTCGAACTTTGTTGGTGAAATATATCAGTGACTCAGCCTCCACAGCCGACAGTAGTTATTTTCGAAGGTATGTGATTTTTCTTACATGATTTTGAATTACAAAACATTTACAAAATTGATTATTTTTACGGCCCTGATTATGGTATACATGTATGTCTAAATAAAATTGCGTCGAAAAATAGTGAATGATTTTACACTGCAAGTTCGAAGCACCTTTCTGGTTTTCATTTCGTACCGGTGATTGTACTGCGTACCTACCAGTGAATGCTCCTTTTAAATGATGAATATCTACGAGAAAGAAAAAAATGTTGCACCATAAAAGTGATTAAGTAAATAATTTTTGTTTACTATTAAAAGTTCCATAAAAACACTTCATTATCACATATTGCTTCCTACCTGTGCAAACCTGACGGCTTTACAGACCACGTTGCCGGCATACCACCCCACCGTGGTCTTCCATGCGAGGTCTGTCAGCACATGGATCAGACCCACGGACAGGTCTGCCAACAACAACAGTCATGAATTACAAGGTGAGATCAAAATTTAATTTAATGTAATCATCGTTAGCAAGAAAAAAATATGCAATCAATTACCTAATACAGAGGAAATGATTTTCTGATCGAGAAATATGGAAGTCTTCCATACGCCGTGCCTCTGCCAAATAAAAACTAAGTAAATGATAACTAAATTTAAATTAAGTAGTTATTCGTTGTCATTACAAATCGCCTACGACCACAATCATCGCCTACGACCACAATCATCGCCTACGACCACAATCATCGCCTACGACCACAATCATCGCCTACGACCACAATCATCGCCTACGACCACAATCGGAACATCGCGCGTCTCGTGCGTATTGTATTTCGTGTTTCACATTCATTTAAAAGTTGATCGAAATAGGCTGCCAATGCAATTCACGCATTTTACTCACCTGCCAGTGCGAGGTGCATGATGAAGAAGTTAGTGCGAGACTTGCGTGCCTTGGAGAGCCGCAGCGCCGCTATCACCGCCGCGTTGCCCAGCACGATGGACAGCAGCAGCAGCCACAGCACCGCGAACTGCTCCGCCTGATGGCATGCCAACCGATCAAATCAAATTACCAGCGCGCAATTCAAATTTATCCTTACGGGCGATGGAAACGTTTATATAATATGAAGTGGTACAATGAATTTTTCGCTTAGAATTGGCTGCCATTTAACTAATGAATTCAAACGCTTTTAATAATAATTGGCAGAGGCCTCTCGACAATAACCATGCTCGTTTTGTACTTTTCAATATGATGCGCTGTATATCTTGCCAATCAGTCAACAGTCAAAACAGTGTCACGTTCGTGTGTAGCAGCTAGACCCATCATGTGCAGCAGCTAGACCTATCCTGTGCAGCATCTAGACCCAATAATTCATTGGGTCTTGCTGCTTCTCTATGAAAGGCTCTAACTTTCCTGCTCTATGCTCTAAGTTAGTAAAATGAACGGGTAATAGCAGCGGTTTTACGTATGTTTATAATCCATCAATATTGTGGAAATTGAAATATTGTATGTACGTGGGATCAAGCTCAAAATTCGTATTTTTTCGCTCTTGTTTCAGACACATTCCAAGCTCTAATGAAGAAAGTTCTTTATTTTGAGTTATTAGGGCTTTTAACACTCTCAACTTGCCTACATGATTGCATAGGTTTAGGGGTGCTTACAACACTTTATTGTGTGTATGTTCCTTAAGTAAACAAATTAAATAATCAATATTCTTCACCTATATAAAAAATCATGAACTTGTGCACCGTGAGCTGTTGTTTCAACGTGGTTCGCTTTGAGTTTTTAAGTCTTGGTATTGAGGCTTTCCTAAAATAATCAAATAAAATATTGTTAAATAATCAATTGTGAAATAAACATAAGAAAAGTATCAATAAAAATGAAATCTAAATGTTCACAAATCTATTTACAATCTAATTCATTCGCAAATCAACTCACGTATCACATCGCAAAGCAAATACCTCCTTGCCTGACTATACACGACGCAATAATGTCACCGTCTCATCCACCTGCACTTTACCTCAACAGACTAAAAACTAAAACGACAATATCAAATTACGAATAATAAACAATTTCTAAAATGAAAATAGTCTCAAAATGTAACATTAATAATACTTTACGATTTTTAACCCTTATAGGATCATTTTTCAACATCGCTCAGAGAAAACAGTAGTTTACTTTACAGTTTACACTAAAGCGTACGGCAAATTCTGAGGCTTATATTGAGGTAGGAAAACGATGCCGCATTTCATTAAGTTTTTTCTTCAGTCTGAGTATTGAATCCTGTATGAACAAGTCATACATACATTGTTACATGAGTAAATATATTAGTAATATACAATTATACGAATTCAAATTATTTTATGTTATTTTAAGCTCACAATAGCAACTCATATACGTTAGTAATTATAATAATAATAGATTCTGAAGCAATTATTCTATAAAAATAAAAGTCGGACGAAGTTAAGTAATACTGCATTCAGAGGTGACGTTCAGTTTGAGAGATAAATTTAATTGTTACATTCAACTCTAAATATAATTATTTTAACTTTATTAACTAACATTAACCTAGTCGCTCCAATAATATTGATTCGAAATGAAATTGAGGAAATTCTAATGTGTCAATGCCAGCTACAACCGAGCCCGTTCTAAAAAGTTAGCTGGATGCCTATTCAATCTGAAAAACTACATTAACTAATTAACTGCGTTGCTTCAAAAAACGTAAGATTTCTTTCGTCACGCAAGGGAATTGTAGGCTAGCACTTCTATATATCACAAATTATTCAGTTCATTCTCCAAAACACAAAGCATTCATGTTGTGTTGTAAATTGTTAAAAAAATTGGTAAGAATCTACAAAGTTTTTCCTATTGCTACTCAGTATTCAGTTAACCACTTTTTCATTTTTTTCTGCACGGGAAGGTTCAGCGAATTTTACCATTTATGTGAATTATGACATCTTGCACGATTTCCCCTTGCGAGTCACAGTAATGAGCGGGTACGGAAGCAGGTGCTCGAGCCTCTATCAGTCGCAAAGAATGGCTACAAAAAAGCACCAATTTAAAGGCCATGACCGTGTATATAGTGCGTACTATGTACTTCCGGTTGATGGCTGCGTAGATCTGATTCTTGTCGCGTAGATCTTGAATTATTAGCGGCTGATCGTCGGCCGATGATATGCCTGGCATGATCTTACTTATATTCACTTCCGGGAGCTACGTTCAATTAAATGTTGGCTTTAAACATAAGTTTTTAACGTGTTTAATGGCGCTTTTTCAACTTGTTTCAAAGCCACAGATATTCCACGCGTTTACCACGAATTTGAAGTTTGATCTTAAGTCGTGTTCTAAATATCAATCATGTGCTCGCGTGCTTCCGGTGTGTCTGTGTTGCTATCTTACGTTTTCTTTTACGTTTGTATTTTGATAATAATTATATTTTACAAATATTACAAGACAGTGAAGAAAAAAATTGAGTTGAAATTTTTTGGTAAGGCGTTACTGGACTGTAAGTGTTCGAGAAAAAATAATGTATAATGAAAAAATTAGAGTTCCAACTGCATGATTTATATTTAAAGAGACAGAATATAGTGACCTGCACTGAAAATTTCGATGGGAAACTCGGTATTTCTTTGATAATTTCAAGTGCACGCAAATGAGATCAAAGCGAGCTCCTGAGTGGCAGCTCACAAGGGAGTCGTGCAGCAATAAACTAAAACTATTTGATCAATCACTCCTGGGAAGGGGGGATTTTTTCTGTATAATAAATGGCGGAGATGATCAAGTGTGTTTCAAGACTGCCACTATCCATCAATTTCCTGTTGGCCGCTCGCCTTTCTCGCTGCCGTGTCACCGCACAATTCGCCGCCTCTAGATGGATAACTTCTGAGGAAATAACAAGTTTTCTTGCATAAATCCTTATAGATTTTTTTTGCTATTCTGACCAAGGTGACCTTCCGTAAATGCAGAAATATATTTTAAAAGCTTAATTAGTATTGTTTTTCTTACTTTTCGAAAATCAAACATGCTTCCTTAACTTAGAATAATATACGTTTAAAAACTACTTTTTAAAGACAACACTTCCAAAGAATCCAGTATCTTCAATCTTACAGATGTACGATGAATTTCTCATCTAATTTTCGAAAATTAAAAAAATTACCTTTTCAATTTTTAATATATAATTTTTTTCTCAAAATTATTTATTCTGTTAATTGATTCGTGCATTGCCTCTGATTTCACACCAGTGTGCAAAATTTCAGCTCAATTAGACAGGTAAAAGTGTGTCAAATATCAGTTATAAGATTTGTAGGAGAAAAAATTATTTTTTCAATTTTTTTAATATTGAAAAAAAAATTTTATTTTCTAAAATCATTTATTTTGACATTCGATTCATGCATTGTCTCCAACTTTACACAAGTGGGCAAAATTTTAGATCGATAGGATAAGTAGAAGTGTATTAAATTTTGATTACAAGATTTGTAACAGACAGACAGACAGACAGACAAACAGACAGACAGACAGACAAACAAGAAGTGAAGTTAAAGAGAAGTGTTGTAATAATAATGGAAATAATATACGTTTAAAAATTACTTTTTAAAGACAACACTTCCAAAGAATCCAGTATCTCCAATCTTACAGATGTACAATGAATTTCTCATCTAATTTTCGAAAATTAGAAAAAATTTTTTTTCAATTTTTTTAATATATATAAATTTTTTTAATATATAAATTTTTTTCAAAATTATATATTCTGTTAATTGATTCATGCATTGCCTCTGACTTCACACAAGTGTGCAAAATTTCAGATCAATTAGACAGGTAAAAGTGTGTCAAATATCAGTTATAAGATTTGTAGCTGACAAAATTATTTTTTCAATTTTTTTTAATATTTAAAATTTTTTTTTTTAATTTTAAAAATCATTTATTTCGACATCTGATTCATGCATTGTCTCCAACTTTAAACAAGTGTGCAAAATTTCAGATCAATAGGATAAGTAGAAGTGTATTAAATTTCGATTACAAGATTTGTAGCAGACAGACAGACAGACAGACAGACAGACAAACAAGAAGTGAAGTTAAAGAGAAGTGTTGTAAAATTGATGTAATTTTCCCCAGAAAACTCTTGTATTTTTACATAGCAGCAAGGCATTTATTTAACAAAAAATCCTTTCTTGTTTCTCGACAACTCAGTTGTTTTTTTTCTGGCTGTATTGATTGCAAATGACTTCAAAATATACTTTATGAAGCGGAGAAGTGAACGTGCAATCAAAATATGTCAAGTTATCCCTATTTAATGTTTTTAAATTGAATAAAATGTAGTGAATGATTTATTTTTAAGGCAAATGTTTCAAAAAAGTACATAATATACTTTTAATAACACTTGCCACTGATGAAGAAAGGTAATAGTAAAGTTACGATGAGGTTTAAGTTTTCAGTGCATATCATTGTGCTGAGAAAGTTTTACTTTAAAATAGATAAGGCGAGCTACATATACTAAGAACTCTCTTTCCTATGATTGATATACGTGGTACAAACCTGGCAGTAAACTTCCTCTCTAGAATAATAAGGAGAAGTTGGTACTGGATTGCATTGTATTTGATGCTCGCTGTACCCGCGGCAATGCATTATGTTAATAAACTGCCCTCCGGACACTCCTTCGGACCACCCTCCCCCAGGCTCCTCGTGATAAGTTGCGTGACCAAAATCTGGATAATTATATCCCGAATTTCTGCCTTCACACTATATCTGGAAGTAATACACTAGCTAAAAAATTTAATGAAGCCTTTACAAAACATTTGGAAGTAATACACTCGCTGATTAAATTAATGAAGTTTGCCTGACCTCAGAACTGCTCTCACAGTTGACTCCATGTAAACACAATGAAAATTCCCTTTGTTTTAAACGAGCATTCGCTCAATGAACCTTCAATTAATGATTATCTACGGCGAGTTCGTGACGTCGGAAGATTGGGAAAATGTAGTAGAAGAAATGAATGTGTTGCTCGATGTCTGCTCTAGCGTGCGTTCACAATTAAGGGGGTGG